GGGACCCGGAGTTTGCGGCAGCTCCGGTGTAAGAAGGAAGGAAGGGTGGGCACGGGGCGGGCGGGATTCTGTGCTGTGCTGGTTGTTTGAATTGGTTGCGTGGGTGATGGAGGGAATTATTGTTTGGTTGGTTGGTTGCTGGGGAGAGGGATTACAGTGCGCCTGCAGGGAGGTGCAGAAGTGTGTCCGTCCGTTCCGTCTTCAGGTCGGTGTTGCCGTTTCAACCCAAGTCATGTTGTCTTGTTGAGAAGTGTGGGTGGCATCATTGTATCACAAGTCATGGCGCAGTCATCTCAAAAAAAGAACACAGTTGTAATAACAATCATAGATTCATTGGTGTGTTTTGCCTGAGGAGTTTAGTGGCACGGTGCTAAGAGACGCGATCGCAATATTCGATCAAGCAGTCGTATGTGAGCATAATAATATCATACATGTCAAATGGAGTCACTTCCGGTGAGCCATTCGTATCCACCGCCAGACGCCGATTTGCCGTAGAAGAAAGAACCCGATACAGAAACAATCGTCGATCAATGCAACCGACGATGAAAACCGAAGAAATTTTTTGTTGCCGAGTATGAAATGGGAAAGGAAAGGGAGAGGGAAGAGAAGATGTGTGGGTTACATCTCCATTGCATCGACGTCTGCGTTAGTCGAGGGAATCTGGACAGCAGGCTGTGCGGCAGGTGTTGATGTGGGTGAAGGAGTGAGCTGACGAGCGTTGATGCGTTCGCCCTCAACGCGAGGGGTGGCACCGAACATGAGGTTGCTGACAGTGCGCTCTAGTGACCAGCCAACAAGCTGGCACCATTGCAGGCTGTCCGAGAACAGCCAGTAACCTTGGACGCCGTGTTGCTTCGCGCGAACAAGGTATGCGTTGAGTGATTCCTTCTCGAGCATGACGAGGACATCAGTAAAGTCGAAATGGCGTTCAATGACACGCGAGTATGCGCGCGCAGCGTCGCGGAGGTTTGGGTTGGACATGACGTTCTTCCAGCCCACTCCGAGCGACGAGATGAGCTTGTTGATGGTGGTGCCATTGTCGTCAATGAGCTCCTCGGTCTTCTGAGCATCCATGTCGTTGAGGGATGGGACTTCAACATTGACAGACGGGCTCATCCGTACCGACTTGCGCGATATAGCAATGGGGCGAGCAGCAGCTTCAGCCTTCTCTTCCTTTTCGATCTTCTCTTCGTACCAAGTGCCCGATTGCGACTCGGCAGCCAATGCATAGCCAGGCTCGCCAGGGTAGATGAGCGTCATACCTGGTCCATACACAGGCTCGGGCTTCGGTTTCGCAGGTGCTTGAGTGACGATGGATCCGACGGGTAGGTTCTCCTCAGGCTCGTCAACGTCGGCGATGGATCGTTTGCGCCCAGCGGTGGCATTGGAGACGGCGGCTAGATAGTTGAGCGAGGGTGGAGTAGGGTATTTGGGGCGGAAATTACCCATTGGTGATGCGGCGGTGTTCTGGTGGTGGGAGAAGTAGCCCTGGGGTTGCTGGGGCGGCAGGACCACGGTTGGCGACGAGGCGTAATAGTTGAGACCCATGCTGTATGTTTAGTAGATTAGAACGACAGAGATGTAAGGATACAAAGATGTGCAAAGCAACTACTAGACAGGAAATAAGCACGCGACAAGAGGTTCCTTGGTGTCACTGGAAGCGACGGCGATGATGGAGTAGATGATGAGAGGTAGAGTGAGAGGCGCAATGGAGATGAAGGATGAAGGGTGGGTATGGATGGTAAGAAGAAAAGAGGAGGGCGGAAGGGGTTCAAGTATGAAGGAGTCGAGGCAAGGGAGCAGTGTGAGGGTGCGTTGGGAGGGCTGGCGCGAGAAAGTGAGATGGAGGAGGGACGGTCTGGAGGGCGCCAGAGCGGTCTTGTAAGCTGCGCGCAAGTCCCGTGAGAGGCTGGCGGCGATGCGGTGAGGAGCGGCAGAATGTAGCGTAAAGTGGTCCGGCTAGCAGCGTCCAGGGCAGGTCAGGCGTGCATTGGCCGGCTGACGAGGTTTGGCGACCCCGACAGGCGCCAAGAGCTGTGTGTAAGGCCGGCCCGACTCGCTGCCGGTGGAACTTGCCGGGTCTTCCTGGCTCAGCGCTCAGCTGAAGTTGGCCTCGCTGAGTCAGCCATCTGTGGCGCCCCTGCCCTGTGGCTGGACGTCGGCCCCAGATAATCCGCGCCGGCATAGTGGCGGTTGCGACGCGGTTTTTGGTAGCAAAAGTTAGCGGAGGAGCTGCAAGGCACCAGACGCAAGATACCCCACGCAACTCTTGTCACGAGCCCCTCCCTCTTCTCTGCACTGCTTCCCAGTCTACTCCTCCAAAATGCAGGCGCCAGTGGTGGTTATGAGTATGGTCCCAGAACATTGGAAGTCCTGACAGCCCACTAACACAACACCAGACACGCAGACCCCAGGTGGGGAGCGCCAGTTCGGCCGCAAAGCCCAGCTTTCCAACATCACAGCAGCCAAGACGGTCGCAGACATCATCCGGTCATGTCTCGGTCCCAAGGCCATGCTGAAGATGCTACTCGACCCCATGGGTGGCATTGTCCTGACCAACGACGGCCATGCTATCCTCCGAGAGATCGAAGTCGCACACCCCGCAGCCAAGAGCATGATCGAGCTCAGCAGGACACAAGATGAGGAGGTTGGAGACGGCACAACCACTGTCATCATATTGGGTGCGTAGGAATTGCGGCCATGTCAATGCACAAAGCTGATAGCAAACAGCCGGAGAGATCCTTGCACAAGCTCTGCCACAGCTCGAGCGCAACATCCACCCTGTTGTGATTATCCAAGCATTCAAGCAGGCACTCGCCGATGCCCTCGAGATCATCAACGAAATTGCCGTCGAGGTCGACACCGACGACGATGAGCAAATGTACAAGATCATCAACTCGTCAATCGGCACAAAATTTGTCTCGAGGTGGTCTAAGTTGATGTGCAGTCTTGCCCTCAAGGCAGTCCGCACCGTCTCCCTTGATATCGGTGCTGGCAAGAAGGAGGTCGACATCAAGCGCTATGCTCGTATTGAGAAGATTCCTGGCGGCGAGATTGAGGACAGCGTGGTATTGGACGGAGTCATGGTAAACAAGGACATCACACACCCAAAGATGAGGCGGAGAATCGAAAACCCTCGCGTCCTGTTGTTGGACTGCACACTAGAGTACAAGAAGGGTGAGAGTCAGACCAACATTGAGGTCAGCAAAGAGGAGGACTGGAACAGGATACTGCAAATCGAGGAGGAGCAGGTCAAGGCCATGTGCGATGCCATCATTGCTCTCAAGCCCGATCTTGTCATCACTGAGAAGGGCGTCAGTGGTATGTTATCTTGCACGCACCTTCCCATTTACTGCTTACTAACTCGGACCAGACCTTGCACAGCACTACCTTGTCAAGGCCAACATCACTGCTATCCGCCGTGTTCGCAAGACAGACAACAACCGTATTGCTCGTGCAACAGGTGCGACAATTGTCAACTCTGTCTTTTCTGCTGCTGCCTCAGATATCGGTACTGAGTGCGGTCTGTTCGAAATTTCCAAGATTGGTGACGAATACTTCACCTTCCTCACAAAGTGCAAGAACCCCAAGGCTTGCACCATCATGCTCAGGGGTCCTTCGAAAGACATTCTCAATGAGATTGAACGGAATTTACACGATGCCATGGGCGTCACCAGGAACGTGATATGGAACCCCAAGCTCTGCCCAGGTGGTGGTGCGACCGAAATGGCTATTGCTGTCGGTCTTGACCGGAGAGCAAAGCTTGTTGAGGGCGTCGCGCAGTGGCCGTACAAGGCGGTTGCTGAAGCCATGGAGATCATTCCCCGCACGCTAATTCAGAACTCCGGAAACAGCCCGATCAAGGTACTCACACAACTACGCGCAAAGCATGCAGAGGGCTACGAAGACGGCAGACACGGTGGAAGTTCTTGGGGTATTGACGGCGATGCTGGCAAGGTCGTCGACATGCACACATACAATGTGTGGGAACCTCTAGCCGTCAAGGAACAGAGCATCAAGACCGCTGTCGAGAGTGCTTGTCTGCTGTTGAGGGTAGACGACATTGTAGCTGCGAAATCAGCGAAGCAAGTCAGTGGCCCGATAGGTGGTGGAGATGACTAGATGCGCCTTCGTTACATACAGGCTTTGCAAGACTCGACGACATTCAATTCAGGAACACTGATACAAAAATGAATCAAATCACAATGACGCCGCCAAAGTCAACTTCCTTCATGCCTAGTTTTGTAGTGGATATGATAGGTTCTAATACGTGCCTTGAGGAATGAACTAATAAAAGATACGTCAATCGCTGCATTGCAGTTGACAGACGATGCAGACATGTAGCTGGGGTTGGCAAGGACCCTGCTCCTAGTAGCACAGCCATCTTCATGCCGTTGTCCAATCGCATCTCCGAATCCTTAGCGCGGCCCCCTCTCGCTGCACCATACACGCCCACTCCAATCAAACATCAGGCTCCCCAGATTGTCTCACTTGCGCAGACAGAGCTCGTATCGGCGGGGCCGCTCATACCACAGCACCTTATCTTCCCGAACGGCCGTATCATGTGGCTTTTGCATACCGCTACCTGTTGCTAAGCCTCTGCACGGTGGGAATAAGCCACGTCGAAGCACATTGTATTCCCAGTGCTAAGGCGAGCTGCCACTGCGGAGGCGAGCTGTAAATGGCCGCTCTTTGCCCAACTCAGTATACTGCGCGATGTATTCGGCGGGGGGCTGGAGGCCTCGATGGGCATCCCTGTGGTGGCCAATCGCAGAACCGAGCTAGGATCAACCTTGTTGAATTTGAAAGACTACGAGGAAAAAAGAGTAGTAGTGGTAGTAGTATATAGGCGCTTGAGTTGCAAGAGGGTGAAGTATTCTGTATTCAGCTCAAAACACCACAACATTCAAGCTTTCCAAGACTTCTTTTCCGTTCCTCTAGCTTGTTCATCACGCTTTCCTTGGCTTCTTTTGTTCTCTGTTATGTCGTCAAGCAATCCTATGGATATTCTTGTGCTCGCGGCTAGGAGCCTCTTCGAGCAGAAAGCCAAGGAGCATAGTAGCACTACTTGCCCGGAAGAAAATACACAAGGGCCTGAGATTCGGTATTTCGTCGGCGAACTCACATTCCATCGATTCGCGACCATTCTTGCGGGCGGCTGCGCCATCCTCAGTACCGTTATTGTTGCCGTGCTGATTGGATTACATGCCTTCAATTACTCGAATCCGGTGCAGCAGCGTCAAGTGATTCGAATTGTTTCGCTTATTCCTTGGGTTGCTATATTCTCCTTCCTCATCGTATGGCAAGATGGTATAGGAGAGTACCTGGCGCCCTCGCTTGATTTCGGGTGTGCAATAGCGTTGTCGTCGTTTTTGCTCTTCATGTGCGATCTTGTGCTTGCACATCCAGGGGGGTACGAGTCGTTGTTTGGCGAGGATGCGAGAGCTAAGGGAGAGCTTAAAGCTCAGAGTCCATCTTGGTTGAAGGTAAGATGTCGTCTTGTTGCTTACGGTTTATTGAACACCATCTGACAATCAACAGAAAACATGGTACGGTGTGCTTCAATTCATCCCTACCAGTATCATTCTGTGGATTGCAACTGCCATCTCTTTGGCTGCTGGTACATACTGCAAGCAGTCCAACAGTGTGCATTTTGCCCATATCTGGATCACGGTGTTGAATGCATACACTACTCTGCTCGCTATCATCTGCTCGCTTCGATTCTACAAGAGAAACAAGCCGCTGTTGCAGAAGCACAGTATTATCCTCAAGCTTGCTACGTTCAAGGGAGTTCTTGGTCTAAACATTCTCCAGTCGGTACGGACTCACTATTCCTTACATGCATCCAAGTACAAATATACTAACATGACCTTCAGTTCATCATTTCCATTCTTGCTGGTAAGGGCGTACTCAAACCTACCGAGTACATGACCTTCCACGACATCAACACTGGGCTTGCTTCACTCATCCTCGCCTTGGAAATGCCCATCTTCGCTATCCTCCTCGTCTTCGCCTTCCCACCGCGCCCGTACAAGGCCCAAGGTGGGCCTGCAGCAGGCCCCTTGAATGCAATCATCGATGCAATCAACATCACTGATTTGTTGTCAGCATTCTATCGCGGACCTATGAGGCTGGTCAGGGATCAACAGCGACAGATTCTGAGGCAGGATAGCATGAGGATACAAGCGGTACCTCAGGCTGTTTAGAATGAAGGGGATATCTGTGGGAAGTGATGTTGCCAAGGATCCAGTGGAAAGTACAGGGAAGGAAGATTGTTCTGTGAGTTAGTGTGATGCCGCTACGATGATACTTTTCAATGAATTTTGTTGCTTGTTCATAGAATTTTTCTAAGCCGACTCGTGACTTGCCATATATATATATCTATCTTCACTTTCCTCATAAAAATTGAAGTTTTTATGTACTCGGTCAATTGGAAGGCCATTTCAGTATCCAACCCAAGTTTCTTTCGATATTCAGATTCCCACGAAGGAGCCATTAAGTTTTAGCGCGGAGGAAGATTTCTTAATCTCTTCTTGTTTTGATTGCTGCACCAATTGTGAGCCAAGAAGCCAAGATCTTGTTTCTAGCTACTTCAGAGAACCACCGTACAGCTAGTATACTCAATTAATACGTCCATGCTAAGCTGTGCTATAAGTCTACCACTAGCTATTAGTTTCATCCTCTGACCTGTTTGTCCCTTTGGGTATAGGCTCCCGGGTATCATCTGATTTCTCTATGAGCCATTCATCCTCGAGGATCTCCTCCACTGTCGGCCTTTTCCAAGGGTCTAGTTTTAAGATCTGCCTTATAAACTTATTGTCAGCAGAAGGTATTTCCTTCTTCGACCACCGTCGAAGCGGCTTCTGTGGATTTTCTTGCCGATTAAAGAAGAAGACGATTTCACGAGCGTCCGGGTTGAGGATTTCGGCAATCGTTTGTTGGAATGGGCCGAAAGAGTGATACCATTCGCTGCAGAACTATCAACTCATATTTCTCGTCTTCTGGCTTGACCCCATCATAACCAGGATCGAATTGGTGATAACCACCCCCATGTACAAGGCTAAGAATCTAAGAATAAGTAAATTAAACGAAACAAAGGGCAGCTAACTTTTCTCATACATACTGCATTTCCGAATGACCAGACGTCTGTTGGTGTGCCCCAAGAAAGCCCTAACATAGTTTCTGGGCTACGCATGAAGTCACCTCCAATAGGATAGCTCTCCTTAACGAACTCCGAGTCTTGAGAGACAGCACCTCCACAGTCCCCAAGTTGAATTTCCGATAACCGCTGCTCGTTTTGAACATAGTTAACAAAGACATTATCCAATTTAATATCTAAAAGATACATGAGAATGGGGAGAATCTAGATACGACAAGGGTGACGTGGAATACCTGTACACCAGTGTTCCTCCCTTGTCAATCTCTTTCTTTTTACGTGATTCGCGCTTAGTTTATCTCCATCAGGTGACCTAATTTCTGTCACTCTTTTTTGGTGACTGGGAGCACTAGCCACGCCCGCAAACACCATTACTCAGAAACTTGTGTTTACAATGCTTCTCCTCAATCTCACTTCAGAAGCTCGCAAGTTCAGGACAGCCCTTACATTCAACCAAGTAACGACTTCTATATATCAAGATGGTAGGGCTAGCAAAATATTTTGGAATCAAGGATGCGTTGTGAGTGACAGGTGTGTTTGTGTAATGCCCAGCACTGATGAGGAACAGAGTGTAGGTATCAGTATATCAGTCAACACCCGGCAATATACCTCAAGAAATTTGGGGACATATACTGAGTTATGTCGACGATGAGTTCACACTCTGGGTCACCTGTCGTCAGGTGTCACACGTCATCCGAACAGAGGCAGAGCGCGAATTTTCTTTGACGTGACTTCCAAAACTAAGTTTCTCTGGGTCGGCTGATTGCAGTTTTTTGAATTCGGAACACACACATTGCTACCGCTGCAAAGTTGTTACGGAAAGTCTCCAGTGTTTTCTCCAAGATCGCCAAGAGGTGAAATACAAGATCAAGATTGACTCCTGTCTTTGCGATGGAGACGACAACGGCAGATCGACAGCTGGAAACTATTCAGAGAATCACAGTAGTTTAACGGAGGAGTTTATCGGTCTACTGGGATATCGATTTCTCACTGATAAGATGCCACAATTCGACTGTCATTGTCACAGAGTGGAGCTCGGGTATTATGTCAACGACACACCCCTCAAGTACACTAATCTGGATTTCGACAACCTTATATTAGGTTTCCAGTGGTAGTCTTTCTTGAACGACTTTTTCAAGAACATTTCGTAAATTCAAAAGCTCGCCCAAATCACAACACCTATCGGTTGTCTTGCAGAACAGTCTCTTGACCAACTGTTCGAGGAAATCGCTGCTAATTCGGAGTCCAAGATAGAGATGCTGGAAGATTGGAAGTCGGATTATGGGAAAGAGGAAGACCAATGTTTCTTTGGAGCCTATGTTGATCGTGTGCGCCACACGCATCCAAAGTCCGTGGTAAAGACTGTTTTTTTGCTTCGTCCTGCACAAGAAGAAACCATGATACTACTCTGGGTTATAGAGGTATGTTTCAGAATATTGTGGTTTTTTCTCATGCGACGCCTAGATCCAAATATTCCGGATACAAGATTCATGGATGAAACATTCAAACGACGATACATTTATCCCCCTATGCCTCATTCAATTACAATGAAGAATCGCATAAGCTTCGAAGTAAGCTACGTGATCAAACATAACAGGCAGCACAGAAACTGGAAGATACTGAGAGACTACAAACGAAAGCACAACATCATATAAAGGCTACAGTCCGTGGGGCAGATGAACTGTGAAGATACAGGGGACAGTGGATACGGTAACACGCCACGGCGATGGGGTACACACATATCAGGAAGAGTGAAGATGGCAACGGACAGTGCGAGCTGGTAACTTTTGGAATACCTATGTTCTCGAATGATGTTTTATGGACTTACTCCGAGCAAGAAATACGACCTTGAACACTAGTTGGCAACGTTCAACGGATTAAACAACGGCACTGTGAATCAGCTGGGAATGTTATAACCAAGCATGGAGTTAGAAATGGAATTCTTTGACAAAACTTTTGTTGACTATCACTCATACTCTACTGCCAATTTTCCCTTCGTGACATCTTTTCATACCCATACCTTGAGAAAAGTCCACACAAATACAATCTCAGCATATTCATCTCCCCACCCATCCACACCAAATCTCCCAAACACGACGAAATGAAGGAGTAGGAGAAGAAAAAAAAAGATCTTGAATTGAACATCTGATATTTGAAAATATACACCAACCATCCACTACCCTCTCTACAACAAGCCAATCCACATACACATTCTCACCAAACCCCATCTTTCATACATATAAAGTCTCCCTACACGCAACTCCCTTTTCTCGTCCCGCCCCCTCCCCTCCAAAAGCGAACAAACCGAACAGCAGTATCAATGGGCAATGGGTAACCAAAAAAGTGCAATTTTCTTTTTTCTTCAAAGGAAAAGAAGAAGAAAAACCGCTCCCGAACAACAAATGTGCTCTGCATGCATATATACTACTGTTCGATTCAAGAAAGAGAGCCAGATTTATTGAACTTCGTTGTTCCACCGCCGAGGTTGAGCTGGGAGACCGTTTGCAGAGGGACCCCTGCTTCCGGGTCTGCTGTTGGAGCCGTCTACGGAGGGAGCGGGGCGCATGGGTAGGTTCATGACGTTGTTGCTACTGGAGGATCGGCTGGGGTATGAGGGGCGGCGGGGTGCGGCTTCGGCGTCGCCGTTGGCGACTCTTTGCCTTGGGTCGCTTGGTTCACGCTTGTGAGGGGGGGAGCGCTCGCGCAGCTTTTCTTTGATGGTTGCGGCGGGGGCGGCGGGAGCGAGGTGGGATTTGCGCTTATTGTGTTCAATCATGGAAATGGCCCAGGCTTCTAGGTCGACGGGAGTGCGTTTGGCGGCTTGGAGGAAAGCGTCGTGATCCTGGTGTTGTCAGTATTTGCTGCTGTATATGGTAAACGGTGGACTTACGTATAGTTCCTTGGGCGTAGGCCGCTCCGCTGGATCCTTCATCAGACATTTGGCGATCATGTCTTCCAGAATTGAAGGGAAGGCATCGCTCTTGGGGAGCTTGGGCGAAGGCTCCAAGACAATCTGTTGTAAAAGGTCGAGAATACCCTGGGGACCCCCGGCCTCGTCATCGTCGCCGCTTCCAGCAAATGGAAACTTGCCAATAGCCAACTCCATGAGCGTAAGACCAACACTCCACACATCTGATTTGACAGTGTAGGGCGATCCCTGTATCCGCTCTGGTGCCATGTATGTACCAGTTCCTACGAACGTCTCAGCAATGGATCCCTCCAGCTCACTCGATACACCGAAATCGCATAGTTTGATATTGCCCTTTGAGTTTACGAGAATGTTTGACGGCTTAAGATCACGGTGCATAATGCGATGGGCGCTGTATAGGTAGGCGAGACCGCCGAGCACGGCTTCTGAGATCTTTCCGAGTACGTCGACTCGAACTGGTCCAAATGTTCGGGAGACCCAATCGAGCGAGCTGTTATTGCTAGTCAGCACCTGCTAGATCCACTGCGCGAATGGAAGTTTGCCTACCCCACGTCCATGTATTCCATGCACATTATGACATCGCCCGACGAATTTTGGAAAGCGCCGTAAAAGTCGACAATGTAATCCGAATTGCAGTCATGCATGATACGGAGTTCTCGTACGATTCGTTTCCGGACCTCGTTCTTTGCCTCGACATGTATGACCTGCCCTTGTCAGCTTGTTTCATTCTTTGTTTTGACATACCCTGCCTGCTCGTCAGAAGACTCACCTTTCTTGCCATTATGACCTTGGTGGCAGCGTGCTGCACCTTGCTGACTGTTCCTCCGTTTCCTGAGCCCAGTTCCCGCAACACTATCAAATCCTCTGCCTTGAGGTCCAGCTGGAATTCAACGCCGATTTCCAGCGTGTCCTGCTTCTCGTCGTTGGCGCGGGCGCCGGGTATTTGAGCATCGCCAGCCGAAGGTGCTGGCTTGGGTGGCGGAGCGCTGAGGGCGAGCCCCTTGACGTTCTTCCTCTTCATCGTCTTCCCTTTGAAATTCGGTTCTGCCATGTTGTAGGTTTGCGCCGAGCGCCGGTGTGATGCGAAGGCGGGTAGAAAGGATGCAGCGATTGCAAGGCTCGTGAAATATGGTCAGAGAGGATGTATCTCGCAGGACAAGAGCCCAAGTGTTGGCTTTTGTTTCGGGTTTGCCGCCCAAAGCTGTGTCGACAGTGGTACGCCAATCACGGCTATGGCTGAAAGGAGGACAGCGTCTATTGGATTCCCCCTTCCAGTACGGGTGGGCGACGGTTTGCACGGGCAAGGCGGTGCAGGGATTGATTGGGAGGTCGGTGTTTTATGCAAAGCACGATGTCTCGGAGGAAGGATGGCAGCTGGGAAAGTCAGGAGAGAGGTTGTGGTCGTGTCAGTGTTGGAGCTAGCGGGGCGCGCGCAGGGTGGGGGCAGATGGAGCGGAGTTCCAAACTGGTTCTGCAAGGCTGCAGCTGGTGCGATGCGATAGTCGGGCAACTTGGAGACTTGGAGAGAGCTGGCGCTGGGGGGCAAGAAGCGGGCGACACTTTTGACTTTGCCAGGGCTACGTCTCTGATATATAGAGGCTGACAGGACATACACGATGCATCGCTCAGGAGGTTTCAGAGTCGCATGGTTGCTCGTGGCCATGCTTCACCTGCTGCTAGTGCACATCTTCTTTCAAACACGCCTCACGAACACGAGTGTTGTATCGGAACGTAGCATACAGAAGCCGTGACTGCTACGTGCGAGGAAACACACCAACAGCGTGCTTGCAATCGGCCATGTCTCCAGCTATCCGGCCAGCAGCATCTAAGTAGTGCATCTGAACCCGGCTTTGAGGCGGCGATTAGCCAGACAGCGGCGATACCTTGCCCAGCCCAAATTGCCGTGTGTATAGAGCGTGCTGGCACTGCATGATGAGGAAGCATACACTCAAAGCACTTTGAAGGATGCATGATGGCATGGTGGCTTTCGGATACATGTGTGGCTGCGCGGCATGCACAGCCAAGGATGGCGCATCTTGTTTGGTAGCCTTTCCGCATCCTAGCGCGGATGTCACGTGCACAGCGTCAGTGCGGCTGAAAGTTAACGCGGCCGATGGGTCGCGAACCTCTGAGAGCCTACATCTGCCTTTCCTCTCTCCTTTACCTCGATTGCGCCCGACTTTCCCTTCCGCCTGATCGCCACAGTCGCCTGATCCCATTACCGCCAAACGCTCGTCGAACCCCCCAAAAGTGCGCCGTCCAGGTCAATCTCACAACTCACGCGTTCCCTTTGTTTTAGTCCGCCATGTCTGAATTCTTCGACACAATCGCCGACGTCGGCAGCGACGAGGAAGAGGATGAGGACTTTGATGGCGAGACCGGTGAGGCTGGCGAACCCAGGCCCAGCAAGACAAATGGCACAGCCGGCATCGACGACTCCAGCGAGGAGGAAGACGATGATGATGAGGACCGACTGCGACAGGCAAGCTCCGCCATGGCAAGCTGTGCCTCCAGGAATGCTGACAGATGAATAGGAAGGCGAGGGCTTCATCGCCGATGACGACGACGAAGAGGAGGAGGAGGAAGTGGCAGAGCGCCGGCGCCGGCGCAAGAAGAAGAGAAAGAACCGCGAGGCCGAGGAGGCTCTCGACGACGAAGATCTCGACCTGATCGGCGTCGAAGTAGAACGCCCGGCCGAAGAACAGGTAAGGTATACTCTGCTGGGGCCTGAACATGACTAACATTGGCCAAGTCGAGATTCAAGCGCCTCAAGCGTGGCCACAAGGAGCGCGTCAAGTCTCGGGGTGTTGACGACATCTTTTCCGATGACGAAGTCAATGAAGACTACGACGAGCCGCGGGCCCGGTTGGGCGACGAATTTGACGACTTCATCGAGGACGACAAGTTTGAAGACGAAATCGAAGACGACCGCGATGTCACACAACCAGGCATAAATCTAATCACCAAGGGGCTGCAAGCTGCTGGGCTCGATGAGGGTGCCGAGGAAGACTACAGAGCTGCATTCGGTGATGGCACAGATTACGACTGGGCGTTGGAAATGCAAGAGGCCGAAGAGGATGAGCAAGCTGGCGATGGTCGCGAACTGCAACTCAAGGACGTCTTCGAACCATCACAACTGCAGGAGCGTATGTTGACGGATGAAGACAACGTCATCCGCGAAACCGACATTCCCGAGCGCCTGCAATTAGCCCGAAAGCCCTTCAAGGAGATTGAGCTCACACCGGAGGACATGCAGGCACGTCTGACCGAGGAGGCAACCTGGATCAGTAATATGCTGTGGCCCAAGAAAGGTCTTCCAAGATACTTTTTGCAGCCTTTCGAGAAGGCTGTGCGAAAGGTTCTCGAGTTTATCAACCTTGAGGATTACGAAGTTCCCTTCATCTTCAACCACCGAAAAGACTACCTCATTCATGCGCCGAGCGACAACGACTTTGATGACATAGACAATCCGCCACCCATGGATGCTCGGCCAGAGCGTCTGCTCAACCAGGCCGACTTGTGGGAGGTCTTTGATTTTGACCTCAAGTTCAGGGCCTTTGCTGAAAAGCGTGATGCTCTTAGGCAGAACTACGAGAACCTGAAGAGCGTCTACCCTGAAATTAACGACACTGAGATTGATGAGTTGTCTTCCAGGGCCATTACCATTGAAGAAATTCAAGAGCTCCAGGACTATCTGCATTATCGATATTCACAGGAAATCAACGAGGTTCGACAAGAATTCAACGGAACACAGAAGCGTGCCAACAACGCCCGAAGCTTCTTCGACAAGCTGCGAAGCAGCAAGGCTAATCAACTTGTCAAGGCAATTGGCATCACACCCGAAGACTTTGCGAAGAAGGTTGATGGAACGAGCAGAGGCGCGTACACCATTGAAGACCCTCCATACAAGGTCGAGGAGCTTGCCGATCAGCTTGCCGAAGCTCCAGAAACGGGCGCAACCCTTTTGAGGTCCACAAAGCTACTGTTTGTCCAAGATCTGCAAATGTGCTCGCGGCTGCGCCGATACTTGCGTGGTAGCTTCTATCAGAATGCCGAAATTGACTGCATTCGCACTGACAAGGGCATGCGGAAGATTACCGAAGACCATCCCTACTACGAGTTTAAATATCTCCGCAGAGTCACCTTTTCGGATCTCCAAGGTCGCCCAGATCTGTTTCTGAAGATGCTCAAGGCTGAATCTGAAGGTCTTGTGCAAGTCAAGATTTCCATGGGCAACTATGCACACTTCAAGGCTCGTTTACAAGAGAAGATCGTCTCTGATGGTGTCAGTGAAGTTTCTGATACGTGGAATGCTCTCCGTAAGGAGCTGCTCAACGTCGCACTTGACAAGCTTCAGACCGTCATTGCAAACGGTGTCAAGGAGACTCTGCGTGCCAGGTGCGAGGATGAACTTGCAGCCTCAGCAAGAGAAAACTACTACAACAAGCTTGATCAGGCACCCTACAAGTTGAAGAGCGCACCTCTTGGCTCAATTCCCAACGTCCTCTGTTTGTCCAATGGCAAGGGTCAGCGTGGAGACGCCATCATGTGGGCGTATGTAGAGAACGATGGTCGTGTCCTAGAGCAGGGTCGACTCGTCGAGATGCGCCTTGGCAATGCTGAACGCGGTATCCCCGAAGGACAAGATATCGAAAAGTTGGTTGATGTCATCCAGCGTCGACGCCCAGATGTCATTGGTGTTAGTGGCTTCTCCGTTGAGACACGCAAGCTATACAAGGATATCCAAGAAATCATCAGTCAACGAGGCCTGACTGGCCCTGCGTACGAGGATGAGGATACTGGTGACGAGAGAAACGAGCCTCTGGAGGTCATCATGGTCAACGACGAAGTTGCCCGTTTATACCACACCAGTGCCAGGGCGGCTGCAGAGTTCCCCAAGTACCCTGCGCTCACAAGATACTGCATTGCCTTAGGAAGATATCTGCAAAACCCACTCGCGGAGTACGCATCGCTCGGCCGTGACATTGTTTCTATTCCTTTCATTCCGAACCAGACTTTGATACCCCAGGAGAAGCTTTTGGACCGACTAGACACTGCCATGGTCGACATGGTCAACCTCGTTGGCATCGACTTACCAGAGACTTACGACGACAAGTACCTGTCGAAACTAATACCATATGTGTGCGGTTTGGGACCTCGTAAGGCCGACAGGCTGATCAAGGCCATCCAAGCCAACAGCGACGAGATTCTTTCACGATTCGATCTTCTCGGTGTATCCGAGTCGCGCGACCTCAAGGCGGCTATGGGTCCCAAGGTCTTCCAAAACTGCGCCAGTTTCTTGTACATTCCTTACGATCCGACTGAAGAGTCATCTGATTACCTGGACTACACGCGTGTGCATCCCGAGGACTACGATCTGGCACGGAAGATGGTCGCTGATGCGCTAAACATGGACGAGGAGGATGTCAAGGCGGAGACTGATGAGGGTGGACCCAGTGCCGTTGTCAGAAAGATGGTACGGGAGGAAACCACTGACCTAGTCAACGACCTGGCTCTGGAAGACTACGCTGCCGAGATTGAAAGGAACTTTGGACAGCGCAAGCGTGCCACACTTGAGACGATTCGAGCCGAACTGGACAACCCTTACGAAGAAATTCGACAAATCTTTGCGCTGCTGTCTGGTGACGAGATGTTCACCATGCTGACTGGTGAGACAAAGGAGTCTCTCTACGAAGGCATGGTTGTTCCCGTCACCATCAAGCGAACATTCCCCGATCACATTGAAGTCAAACTTGAGTGCGGAATCGAAGGTGGTGTGTCTGAATCAGAGTTCCCAGAAGGTGTTGGGAGCGGCGGACAGGAGCCTCGTCACGTCTACTCGAGTCACCAGATTGTGCGCGCACGTATCGTCTATCTCAACCGCAAGGCCCTTACTGCACAGTTGTCGCTCCGAGATGATCTCATCCGACAACCGCAAAAGAAGCCTTATGACCGGGCAGCTGGTGAGTGGGATGAAGCGCAAGAGATGCAGGACAAGAAGGCAGCCGAGAAGGAGAAGGAGGTTGCATCTGGCCGACCCAACCGTGTGGTCAACCACCCTCTCTTCTTCTCTTTCAACACAATCCAAGCAGAAGAGTACCTCGGTGGCAAGGAAACTGGCGATCTCGTCATCCGGCCGTCGTCCAAGGGATTCGACCACTTGGTCGTAACATGGAAGGTCTCCAACAACGCCTACCAACATCTCGACGTACTGGAAATGAACAAGGCCAACCAATTCTCACTGGGCAAGCAGCTCAAGATTGGAAAGCACACGTATTCGGATCTGGACGAGTTGATTGTCAATCACGTCGAGGCCATGGCTCGCAAGGTCACGGAGCTCACCCGAGACGAGCGATTCCAGCCTGGTACTCGGGAAGACACTGGTATGTTGCTCACTCTACTCTATTAATTCTAATGAAACACGTAACTGACTTCTTTTTTTTCCCTCGAAACAGAAAAATGGTTGGAAAACTACTGCGAAGCCAACCCGTCACGCTCCATGTACGCGTTTTGCAGCATGCCCAAGTATCCCGGTCACTTTTGGATCTGCTTCCAGATGAGTGCCAAGGGACCCAAGGGTGCGTGGGGCATTAAAGTGGTGCCGAATGCGTTTGAGCTGCAGAAACATGTGTATCCTGACATGATTGCGCTGAAGAATGGGTTTAAGATGTTGGTTAGTGCTGCGGCGAGTAAGGGGCCTGTGAGGAGGTAGTTTTGAAGGGGGATGGGAGGGGAGGAAGGGCAAGGGAGAGAGAAAAAAAATGCATTTTTTTTGTTTGCGTGCAAAAATAAAGAGATGGCACTTATCTTTTTTGGAGGTGGAGATTATGAAGAGGGAGTACGCTTAATAATATGTATGAGTAGTCTCTCTCTCTCTTTCTCTTTGTCCTTCTCTTTGGTTGAAAATAACTTCAAGACATAGCTTGTGTGGAAATGGAGATACCAGGTTTAGGGATTCTATTGTAATGCGACTCTTCTTCTTCTTCTTCTTCTTCTTCTTCTTCTTCTTCGTCTCCCTGCCCTTCTTTTTTTCCTCACCTTCTTTATCAACACTAATCTTTTATTACAATTTTTTTTTCCCCTTTTACTCCTGTCGTTTATGGCGAGAGAACAAAAGAAGAAGGATAAGGAGAAGAAGAAAAGGCCCTTTTTTCCCGCAACGCACTCATTCTTGGCCCCCCCCCAAAAAAAATCCAGAATCCAGAATCTAGAATCTTTACCCACGTGGACCACATACACGTTTCCGAGTTATTAAAAAAAAATTCAGTTTGACTGCTGACCGGAATCAAGTCCGCTTTTCAACCTACTACTGGTTTTTTTTTCCTTGCCTTACTAGCTCCGGGACACTTCTTTTTTTTTAAAAAAAAACTTCCGGTTCGCGTTAAAGGAGCTAGGAAAGGGAAAAAAAAGAGTCTGGGGGATTGACGGGTTAGTGTTGGTGTTGGTGCTTATTAGTGGGGAGCACGGCGGTTGGGCTGGTTTGGGGAAGGTTTTAGTTGGGGTTAAGTTGGGGGGGGCTGGCCGTAGACGAGGCGAAGGGAGAGAGGAGCCGAGGCTGGCTGAGGTGGGAAGGGTGGGGGGGGGCAGGCGGATTAGGGGATTCTTGCTTTTAGGTCTTGAGAGCCTTGTGGTGCAGAGATTTTTTTTTCGAGCGGTTGACTTCTTTGACGTTGTTGTTGTTTTTTTCTTGGTAGGAAAGGGTTGTGGTGCATGCACGTCAGTGGTCATTTGCTGCGTTGAGAGATTTTTTTTTTCCCCTTGTCTTTGTGAACCTTTTTTTTTCTTGACAGTTCCCATACGTCATGCCGTGATAAAAACGATGCCCATTGCCAGGTGGCCTACTACGAACCACATTTTTTTTTCGGTCTAAATGATTTTTTTTCCCTTCGGAAAATTAAACAATACATGACTCAAGTTAAGCGTTCATTTGCCCGAATACCCTGGCTTTTTGTAAAAATCTAGATCTTTGTCTTCAGAGAAAAGTTTATTTTTGACTCAAGGCCGAAAATGGAAATCGAGTCAGTGGTCATTTGGACACATCACCAACAAAAAGAGCATAGTAAGGGACAATGTTGAAAATTGAACAAGTCATGATTATTATCAATCCGCTATGTGGATTGACTTTGTTCATCTATGAATTGCTCGCTATGGAAAAAAACTGAAAAAACTCTGGGGGGGGGTATGGTGCATATCCACCGCTTTCCATGCCAAAAATGAAGAAATCCAAGGCAAGCAAAAAGACAAGAATAAAGCAAAGTAAAGTAGTCAAGGCCCTTCCTCTTGACAAGAGAGCAGGACATGTGGTGCAATCCGGGTATCAAAAGAAACAGAGAGACTTTTGATTTCGATGACCGGAGGGTGGCGCCTGGCTCCTCGATGGTAGTTGATTGTTTGATGGGGTTGTTTGGTTTGTCGTAAAGGTGAATAGTAGTAGAATGAAAAGAAAAACAGGAAACTTTTTGTTCGTTGGTTGGTTATACAGTTGGAGCAAGAGAGAAGCTTGCTCTGAGGGAAACGCCGTTGCTAATGGATGGGAAAAGGGAGGCTGATGGGAGAGAATCAGGACCAGCTCTCAAACCAGGATAGTAGTAGTAGTAGTAGTGAGGTGAATGTTGAATAGTGACAGAGAAGTGAAAGTCGAACGGAAAGCGCGGAGAGACAGGCAAAGCAATCGGTCTAGTGAGAGAATTGCCTGCTGAGACGCTGCCATGCGTGCTCGACGCTCCTTCGGACACCGTCCTTTTCGCTCTCGACGCTCGAGGAGCTGGAGGCGGAAGAGGAGGAGCTCTGGCGGTGGGTTCGGGGCTTCATCTCGTCGACGAGGTTTCCGGCGCCGCCGCGGCCAATGTGGTAGACGGGGGCTTGCTGGGAGCGCAGGCGCTCTTGCTGTTGGAGCTCCTCGTCGAAGCTGAAGATGGCACGTTCGGACTTGCGCATGTTGCCAGCACCGCCACGGCCGGTAGCATAGAAGGCATTTGATGGTGGAGGAGGCAGGTTGGTGCGGGAGGCCGGGCCAGAGGCAGTAGCGCCTGAGGTGATTTCGGTAGGCTTTACGCGCATGGCGTTGCCGGCACCGCCGCGACCAGAGTACATGTAGTTGGAGGCGGATGGGTGAGGTTCGCTGATGTGGAAGTTGACCATTTTGGCGGCGGTGATGTAGATGGATGACGTGATTTGGGGTAGAGGGTTGAATTGATGGTAGATTGGATCAAGTCAGGTCAGGCTGGGCAGTAGTAGTGTAGTGGCAGTGGTACCAGACAAAGCATCTGGGGTAAGAGGGTTTATATAACAAAACAAGGCGGACTGATCACGATGGGTGTGTAGAGGACATGCGGTGCAGGGCCAGGCTACCAGAATTTTCGGCGCCACGCAACACAAACGAACCAAAGGCGCACGAGGCTTGGTCGACGGCTTGGTCGGGTGAGGGCGACTTTGCAGTTAACGGCAAGTTATCGATCATGCGTGGCCTCGCCCGGCCCAGAGTAGGAATTTTCGCAGCGCCATGAGTAGTTTACCATTACCCCCTCAAAATGCGGTGATTGGCCGGGCGCAGTTTTTCGGGGGTAAGAGATTGCCAGGGGAAAGGGTCAGGTGCAGCAACGCGTGCGATCGAGCCCCATTACGCCATGCCACCCACCGGACACGGCCTCCGCAGCAACCACTAGCAGCCGGGCCCAAGGCGGACAATGCCCACATACTGTGGAGGCGGGAGCGCGACCGACGAGGCCCGGGTTTGAAATTTTGTGCTAGCGGCCATTGCGGTGCCTGGCAGGAACAGCAGCTGAGAGGGCTGTGACGTTGGCCTGCTGAGCGAGAGGGCTGCAAAAATCTGACCCTGTCCCGGTCTTGTTTCCACGCTGACCGGACGCCAAAGGAGGCGACTGTGCTGCTCCCACCCGGGCGACTATGGCGACTATGGCCACGGCTGCCAGCGCGCATGACGTCGAGCATCGTGACGTCTGGACGACGACGGTGGCCAAGCGCTGGCACGGTACATTACTCTACATACTTACGTGTCGCGGTCCTCTGTCCGGCCGGCCACATCCAGGAGTCATCAGGTACACGCATGGGCGCTGGGGCCGCTGCGCCTTGCCCATCACACCATAGCCCTCAGTCTTTTCACGATCCTTGGCATCCGCGCCCCTTGGACACCTACCTATACGACTCCACACAGTACGCGTGACACCAGCAAAGAGCACGTCTGCGCAGCTGCAACCTGCGTTTGACCCTGGCATTCTTGTCTACACAGCTGCGCTTCATAATCCGTTGGCGAGGGCGCATTCCCGTCCCGGGCATTGAGCCCTCGCAGACGCCGCCCATGCATGCCCTCCCCATTGCCATGATGCCCTCACTCGGCAAGCCGCCCCCCTTGGTCCTACTTGTACGTACATAACCACCCCCAGCCCGCATCGCGCTTAAGTAACAGAAACCGCTCTGAAATGCGGGGGAGGCAGGCGACTACAGTAGCTCTCCCGCTGACGAGCCACGCTTACCGGCTGACACGTAGATCCAGCCGACCTCCCATGCCCCGCCGCTGCTGCCCCGTCGTTGCCAATACCCCGGCCGCCCCTCTCCCATTTCCATGACTAACTGCAACCCCGACTGCACTACCACTGTTTCCCCTTCGGCTTCTTACTACACACACATACACACATACCCACTGCCCTGCCCTGCCCTGCCCAGACGGACACCAGTGGGACCGCCAAACTGCTGCTGCTGCTGCTGTTGCTCCTCCTCCTCAATCGTTACACAGCATCATCATCATCACTGCTCATGCAAACTTGGTATGGATAATGTCCGGGTTCTCCTGCCACTCGTCCTTTTCCACCCACATCTGCGTCGTCAAGTCAGCACATCACCTCCCTTGCAAATAACATCATGCACCACTTGCCTTTTTGAACGTGCTCAGTCCAGCCAGAATACTGCCGCCCGTCCACGTCGTGTAGATGCGCTCTGGTGGCGCCAGTATCTTAATTCGCATGTCCTTCACCGCCAGTCGCTGTACCTCGTGGAGCAGCCGGTTTCCAAACCCCTTGGTCAGTGTAGACCCACCCGACAACACAATGTTGCCGTATAGCGCCTTGCGTAGATCCATGTCCGTTCGGTGAATGGCCTCCACCACAATCTGGTGCACGCCAGGATATTCTAGACCAATAATTTCCGGATTGAACAATATCTCGGGCGCTCGGAAGCGTTCCGCTCCAACCTAGACCCGTCAGCTAGCCTTTAGCAAGTCAAGCCATCGTCGACAACTCACCCGCAGTTTCTGCCCATCCGGAAGCGTGTAGTCGATGCTCTTGCCTTCTGATCTCGAAGACCCTGACCAGTCCTTCTCCTCCTTGGCAGGGTCAAGCGCCACATAGCCTGTTGCTTCTTTGATGTTCTTGACTGTCTCCTTTTCTGCGCTCGTGTGAAAGATGCGCCCGCTTTTCCGGAGCAATTGTTGAAAATGCTCCGTAACGTCTCTGCCTGCCACGTCAATTCTTCTGATGCTGTTTGGTATCGCAAATCCCTGGAACACTGGCACCGCATGCGATACACCGTCTCCTGAATCTAGCACCAGACCCGTCGTCTTGCCAGAGGCGTACAGCGAAAGCACCGCTTGCACAGACGTATACAGCGCAGGCACATTGAACGTTTCAAACAGAATCTGTGCTGCCGTATCGCGGTTCTCGCGCGGATTCAGTGGAGGCTCCGTGAGCAGTACCGGATGCTAGTAATGTCACAGTCAGCTCAGTGCCCCTCCAACACTCGCAAATGGGGCTGCCTCTGCTCCCCAACCTCACACTCACATCTTCGCTGACTGTCCTTAACCCCTCCGTATACACATACTGCCATATCCGCTCCATGTCGTCCCAGTCTGTGACAATGCCGTGCTCCAATGGGTAGTTGATCTTGAACAGCCCCCTGTACTGCTGTGCTTGCGGCCCTATGAATACGTCTCCCTCCAATGCGCCCGCCATTGTCCGCACATGTTTTGGTCTCCCTACATATGACGGAAAGAAGCATTTGGGCACATCTTCGCCTGCGAACCCAGCTCGGATCGTGCCGCTGCCGTTGTCAATCACAATCGGTGCATTGTGTAATCGAGACCCCATGGCGGGGACGGCGGGCGACGGTAGTGATGGGTGGCCCGGCTATGTGACAATTTGCGGTTGCGAGCTTGGTTTCGGCCGTTGGGAGGATAATAGTTTGGCAGTTGCTTTGGCGAGGGGTTGCTGTCGTGGCTACTTTCCCCAGTTGGAGCTCCTGCTTGAGTCGCGAAAGTTCACGACGCGCTTCGGCACTGTTGGCAGGGGTCCTCTCACCGCATCACGTGCTAGCGTCTGCAACTTGACGTCTGCAGGGCATGGAAGCGTTTTTTTTTTGTGATATTTTTCTTCTTGCGATAAAACTGCTGCTGGTAGTCCAAATCAGGGAACCTTTGGAGTTTGCAGAAATCAGCCGATATGCTCTTGTTATCGACTAGAAAAGCATATAAGAGTATCAACCCCGCAATTCGCCCTACGTACTACTCCACGCTACTACCAAGCCTCGCTTTGAATGTTTCCAAGACTGACCAAAACTCACACTCGCTCGCTTTTCATTCTTCTAACGAATATTCCAATTCCAGAAGCTACTCTTTAGCGAAACTCATTACATTCAAGCAACTCCCCAAAGTACTTTGTACCAACATCCTGAAGCGCCAAGATTCCTTCGACATGCCTCGATATCAAAATCACTACTGTATATTTCCAGGAATTATCCGAGAACCAGCTGATCCATCATTTCATAGGGCTCAGATATAAATTTGATCGACATGCCACCGACTTGCCCCCACCTGCCTTGAGACCATACAATTATGCTGGAAGCAAATGTTCACAAGGTCAAAGCCAGCTTTATCTCCAGTAACATAGGTGTCAAAGCAGCAGTCAATAGCTCGGTTCAACAAAAATCTACTGTAAGCCCATATAGACGTAATATGTATATCCATTACCCATGCAACCATCTCAAACACCCATCTTCCATCACTGCAAAAAATGCAACGGCCGTGGCCTTCCCCAGTGATCACTCGGATTGAACCTCCAACATCCATCATGCTTCCTCGAAAACCAGTATGCATTCAGCCAAGGCACGAAGAACGGTAGAGGAGGGAAGTCAGCACTGCCCGGATAATTCTTATCCAGACAACCCATGACCAACGGTATGACGAGGTTCTAACAACACACGCAAAGAATCAGCAGCGAACCCATGAATAGTAAGAAGAAGAAGAAGAAGAAAGGATGCAAATACACACCGGATCCGCCGTCCTCCCCCCCTCATCAGCCGTCTCCTTCATCGCCTTCTTAACCCCCTCCCCATCGCACTTCTCCAACCCCACCAACGTATCAATCTCATCGTGCAAATGCTGCGTCAGCAACGGCGCAAACCCATCAATCAGGCCCTTGAGCACCTCGGCATCATACTCGACCTCTCCACCCGCCACCCTCTTAGCCCACCGCACCATCTCCGCCATGCCACCCTCAAAGCCCTGGTGCTGCGCCACGTTCCCCGCCATATCGCACGGCTGGCCCGCTGCCTTGGCCAGCGCCTCGATCCGCGGGAAGAAGAGCGTTTCCTCGGCTGAGTGGTGATGGTGGATGGTATCGGCCCATGCGGTCGTGTACAGCATGAGGTCCGATATGTCGGCGGGGAGGCGGACAAAGGGAGCTTGGTTGTAGATGGAGTTCAATCCACGGAGCAGCAGGTTGTGGACGTTTGCCATTTCTATGCATACCTCCAGCACGCCGGCGTTTGAGCATGTGGGCGCGCCTGGGGTGCCGGGGATTTTGAGCAGGGCGAAGGGTGTGTCGGCCCACGGGGTTGTGGGCTTGGTCGTCGTCATTGTTGTATCTTCAAGTTCTAGGGCGGTGGCTGTATTTTGCTGAGAAAGAGAATATGTTCTATTTGAATACTGACTACTAACTACTATATACCTCTTTTTTTTCTCTTTGTATCTATCTACTGATAAGACGGCTTGCCTGCCTGTCGGCGCCCCCGAGCATGTATTCGCAGCTCTACAGGCTGACCAAACGCATCTTCTTGTTTCCAAGTGGAGAAAAGTTGCAATCTGGTAGTACGTAAGCGGTATACTACTTGTGGCTAAGAACTGCCCGCCTTATCGAGAAAGACCCCTTCTTAGGATACTTAGCGCTGATTGCTGGGCTGACGCCTTGCATGAGAACAGCTAGCCTTAATGCTTAGAAAGGGTACAGCTATTCGAGAGTTGCGAGTGGCTACGGTTATATCATCTAGTGTGGCTATACCTGGCTTGCTTGGGCATACTGCCGTTTCCCTATGAGACAAGCTGAGCGAGCAGGTATGCGCATATAGTTTTGGTTACCTAGTCGAGTTCATACTTGCTGACTCGTTCTACACATACAACGCAGCCTTTGATATAGAATCACGAAAATACACACAAACTAAAGAGTGGTCATGTGGGCAGTAGTAGTGAAGGCCCGTTGCTGTTCGTCAGTTTCCAGTCCCAAGGAACCAACTTTATAAGCGTTTGCAGATCCTACAATATAAATAGCCGCATACAGATAGCTTCTTGTTTCGATTGATCTTTTAAAGTTCCTGCGCCACGGGATATGGTGCGGTGCAGCTGCAGCCAATCGCGGACACGTGAAATTGGGAAGGAAAGCTTAGTGTCTTGGCGGATGACACCCTCCTTTCCGTCCTCATTGTTTCATCGATGTGACCTAAACAGGCCACACTGCCCAATGTTTGGCTGTGCCTGCTGGCCAAGACACATCAGCGAAGAACAATGCATCTGACAACTGTGTGCACGAGCCTGTGGTCGTCCTGTACAGAAGAAACGAGACGGCAGACTCGTTCCAAGAGATCGAATATGGTCATTGTATGGGCATATACACAGACATTGTCGGCTGGTGTTCAGTACACTACTTACTCGAAATGCTCGGCACATCCGTCGATCGTTTGGTGCAGGGACCTTTTGCCCCATACGCTGTCCATTCCCATTTCCATCTACTCACATGGTTAATTAGGTGTGAATTGAAGGGCACGCTGTCATGTACAAGATTCCGCCCATGGTTTCAACACACACCCGTCGCACGTCACTCCAAGCTTATGCCGTCCCACGAGAGACTGTTTTTTCCGCAGAAAGCCCCCCTTCGAAACAAAGAAACATGTGCACCACCCGTCATTCTTACAGGCGCACGGCTCGTCTCTTCACCCCCACATCTTGAACCTGATGTACGCACATCCCCATAGGTTGTGCCGAGACGTTGCCCCTGCTGTAATTTCACGGGTTACTCTTCGCCAGTTAGCTTGTAAACCTATCTTTTCCCTGCTAAATATCTAGTAGTACCCCCATCTATTATCCAACGTCTGTCGCTCCCGCTTGCTTCTCCCCACCCTCCTCCCTCTGAAGTTTAAGATTACTCAAATAGGATTTCCTTTTTAAGAAGTCCCAGTATTACCTTTACCTTTTTTCTCTCTTCTCTCCGGTCTGATCCAGAACTTTAACACTCCTTACCTATAAGCCACTATGCACTTCACCCTGCTCATCAGCGCCCTGGCCGCCAGCGCCCTCGCTTCACCCCTCGCCACAACCCCGATGACCAAGGCAGGCATGAGCGATACTTGGACACCAGCACCCAGCACCACAGCAAGTTGCGCAAACACAGACGAACCCAACTTTTACGTTAGCTTCGCGCGCAGCGATCCCGTCGAAACTGTAATCCACAATGCCTGTGTAGCTATGATGCCCGAGTGCGCATTCCGCGACCGCCTCCCCAACGGCAACTTTTGCACCGCAACTGTCGACTACCAGATCGATGGCCCAAAGACCTACATACCGCCAAACGTCGATGCGAGTAGCTACACCGATGAGCAGTCCCAGTCTTCGCAGGTCATATGTAAGTTTCTCCTCCCCCCCTTTTCGAGTTCGACTTGGAAAATCTGAAGTCATTCGCTAACGGATGTTACTACCGTAGTTGAAGTAAGGCCTCCTTTGGGAGAGGGAGATGGCTCTACAGATCCGCTTGTCTTTTGGAAGGTGCAGGATTGCTATGGGTATTTTCATCAGCTTCTAGAGGAGATGAGTCCTGAGGGTTGTCGTGATAGCGAGGGTTCGTTGTTGGGGGAGCTCGTTGTTGGGGAGGAGAGTTCGTTGGCTGGGACGAAGTTTGTTGTTTCGATGGATACGATTGATGGTTAGGGTTGGAATGTTACTTGGGATAAATGGTCGTAGTAGCTGTACATACTACCACGAGGAGGTTCTTTTTTTTTGCCATTCTTCTTTTGTATTATCTATCTTGGGGGCTTTGTGGGAGATTGGGGTAAAGTGTTGGAAAAGGGACGGGTCGCATGGGCAAGTAATACTTATTAATATATAACCTATGTCCTTCTCTCCAGTTTTTTTGATCAAAAAGTTCCTATACATGAACTGTAAGTTAGAGTGTTGCAATTTGGAATGTCTGATAACATGCATCATCGACTTGAGCCCCTTGCTCCCCCCCTTTTTTTGTTTCTAGTTGCAAAAGAAGAAAAAGAAAGGAATAGATAGGTGAGCATGAAACCCATGTATGTTTCAGTAGGTGTATACGCGTTGTTCCTTGAGCGACATCGGTATTCTTCAATGTTCATGTGGTTTTGTAGACTGTGATGATTTTGTTGCTGATCGCGGAATGCTTGCTGTTGTGAGAAGAATGCAAGAAGCTAACCGGTTACCATCTGGCTACCCAATGCAGCTTCTTAGTTTCGAAGTCTTACTATACAAGTGGTCAAGCCTTGATCAAGTGCACCTGACGTGGTCTGATTTATGACTACACGGCAGCACGGCACATACCCGACTACTGAGGTATTTCTCCTTCTAGTAGAAACCACAATTGCAATACGGTCAAATACGGCAGACGGCATGCACTTCACCTGTGCTCCATTGCCAAGCCGGCATGACGTCACCACCCAACCTTCGTCATCGCCTAGTTACCCCAGCCTCGCATCATAAACACTCGATTCACATGCCTCGGTTACACATATCCGTTACCTTTTAGTAGTAGCCCAGGTACCGGCTCATCCGAGCCTATAGCACAGCCCGGGCGTACATGCTTGGCTACATCTAATGTGTCTCTTGTGCACCCGCATTTCGCGTGCGGGAGATGTGCATGTTCCCATTCCTTTCTGGAACCCTACGTACGTATGGAAAGAAGATGTGGCTTGCCTAGTATTCACTACCACAGTCACTAAAACTGCACCAAGTCAACCGCATAGCAAATTGGATAGATATAAAATAATCCACAACAGCAATTCCACAGTACCCTGCCACTCACTCTAACCTGCTTTGCACTCTCAAGCCCTCCTCACTAATTCCCATCATCTCCCCCAAGAAACCCTTTACTACATACATACGTACTATCAAACAAAAATGCGCATCCAACCCACCATCCTCGCCCTCGCCTCTACAGCCTCCTGCAGCCTCCTCCCCCGTAACCCCCCAACAAACTCAACCACCACACCCTCAGTTGTCGCAGCCCAATACGACGGAACCTGCTTCTACCCCGTCCCAGACGCAACCTTCAACCTCAACAGCTACCTCGGCACCTGGTACCAAGTCGCCGGCACACCCTTTGGCCCTACCGCCGGCGCCCGCTGCGTAACCGCGAATTACTCGCTAAACGTGCGTCCTCTTTTCTTTCCCCTTTACCAAAACCTTTCCCCCCCTCCCCCCCTCTCCAGAAAAGTTGGAATACCAATGTATACATGTACATACGTACTAGTACTATCGATGAGACTGACATTGAGACATACTTAGCCAAACGGCACCGTCCGCGTCGTCAACTCCGCATCTGCAGGCCCCTCGACCTTCAGCATCCAAGGCACCGCTACCCCTGCAGCCCCTGCGTACGGACTCGCTGGAGTGTTTACCGTCACGTTTCCGGGGACCCTGCCCGTGGGACAGGCGAGTGCGTGTCCTGGACCGAATTACATTGTCCAAGGTACGGCTTCTCTAGTGTCTTTTCTTGATGGTATAGTATGAATGGAGGGGGAACGAAAAGCTGATGTAAATAGATTACGCCGTCGATTGGGCTATTGTGCAGACCCAGGAGTGGAATACGCTCTATGTTCTTAGTCGAGTGAGGGAGCCGGCAGAGGAGAGTATCCAGGCGTGGGTCCAGAGGGCGGTGGCGTTGGGGTCGAATGCGACCGAGGTTGTGAGGTTTGATCAGACAGGGTGCTAAGGGGAGGGGCCGGGGGTTTGAGTGGAGGATTTTAGGTGAGAAAAGGTATGGTTGGGTTTAGTTAAGTGGTTAATTGTTTTGTTGGGGAGGCAGAGTATAAATTTACGAATTATCATGGTAACGTTGATTGCTTGTACAGTGCTTGTTTTTTTGTCTTGATGTCGTAACTTCAGAGCTAGTAACTACTTTTGATATTCAGAGACAAACATTGAAGCTCCATAATCGACATACTCGTCACTGGGTATGAGATGAGCTTTTTTTTTTCTTCTTCTCCCTTCTCGCTGTAAATTGATAGTGGAAAAGAAAAGGGAAACAATGGCTGTATGAGAAACAAAGGCGCGTGAATCATTACAAGAGATAAGTATAACTAATGCCGCGAAAGCGGTCAACACAGGTAAAAGTATATGCAAAGGTGGGATATATATGCCTTGAAACATGGAACAAGATACACATCACTGGTAGACGGGGCGCTGGTCAACATTAGCATGCGACTTTGGCACCTGAGCCACGGGCTGCGGCTGCGGTGCCCACTGCTGACCAGGCTGTTGGCCATACGGCTGGTACATCTGCGGCGCCCATTGCTGGCCTGGCTGTCGCGACCACTGCTGCACCGGCAGCGGCGGCCCCGAGTACCCCATATTCTGTTCCTGCGGCTGCAACTCATACACCCCGCGAAACCCAGCATACCTTCCCTGGCCGCCAAACGCCCACTTGAGCCCTCCCCTCGTCCTAACCAGCACCCACAGACTGGCCAGCACCGCCATGGCCGCCACCGCCATGGGCAACAGCAAATACCGCATAGCCCGACTCGTCCCACACGCCGTCGCTGCCCACCCCTCGCCAGGAAACAAACTGTGAATCTGACACGCCCACGTCTCCCGCGTAAGTTCCTGATCAGGCCGACCGGCATCCTCGTAATTCTTCCACGTCCCATCGCGCGCCTGCACGCTGGTTGCGTACCCAAAGCCTCCCAAGCTCACAGCTATCATGACCACATTCGCAACCAGCACAACCCATACCCACACCCGCTCATGTCGCGCCGTGCCCTCGACCTTCTTCAACTGCCATATCCCCGCCGCGCTCAGCACAGTCACCGCGTACGCCATCACGCAGATGCCGAGGATGACGAGCATGGGTGCGTGGTTGAAGTCGAGCGTCAGCCCGATGTCTGGGCCCCCGCCTGGCCGTGCCAGCACCAGTTGGAAGGCCCCCGTCCGAAAGCTGCGCTGCAGGTTCGAGTACAAGGTGTTTTTGGAGATGCGCTCAAGGATGGAGATTAGGGCTGCGGTGGGGAAGAGGAGGAGGACCGGCGGTGTGAGGAGGAGGAGGGTGCGGCAGCCGTTTGATTTGGGCATTGTCTCGTGTTTGAATTGATTGCAATGGAGTTTTTTTCCTTTTTTCTTTTTCTTCTTTTGCTCCGCTGACCAAGTCGTGTGTTGAGTTTTTTTCCAAAGGGGCGTTTCAGAAGGGTAAGAGTGCTTTTGAAGACACGGCTACGGCTCCCCTCTTCTTGGTTTCTTCGCAGAAGAGTGCCTGTTGTGTTCGTGGCGTCATGGCGAGGCGCGAACGGTGGTGGTTGTTGCGCCGATGGGACGATGGACGCCTGAAAGTGTGGAGCTTGGCCGCGGTGATAGCTGTGCTTGGCGGATTCGATAGAGAGAACAGACTTTAATGCGGCCATATCTGCTGCTTTGACACTCTATATTGCATTTTTTTTGTTTGCATAGTAGTTGGAGTGGTACCTCTCGTGGATCTATGCGCGTCTTATCAAATGGCCGATCGACGCGTGCTCACGTGAAACCATGTTCCCGTAACGTGGTTCGCAAAGTGAAGACATCATCACAGTGCAAAAAGAGGCATAGCCTTGGGACGGTCTAGTTGCGATTCCAAAATACGGAGTGGTGCAATTCAACGTCTACTTTTACTTACGAAAGGCCGTTAGAAGGCCGTCTATGTGTATGTCTCAGATATGGTTACCAGCCCAAATACCCAGCTGAAAAAGAAAGATATTACAATATATATGTCCAACATGGCTCTATGCGTCAAAAAACCGTATATACCTACTACTACTGTGGCGCTCCAATGGCTTGTAGTTTTGCTAGCTCGTAGTACACGCCCTTCTTGGCTACCAGCTCGTCGTGTCGACCCTTCTCAACAATCTTGCCATGGTCAAACACGTAGATAACATCCGCGTGTTGAATTGTGCTCAATCGATGTGCGATGGCGATTGTAGTACGGCCCTTCGAGGCGGAGTCAAGGGCGTCTTGTACAACCCGCTCGGATGTGGAGTCGAGAGCAGAAGTAGCTTCGTCAAGAAGGAGGACTTTGGGGTCGCGAAGGAGGGCACGGGCGATTGCCATACGTTGGCGCTGGAGAGAGTCAGTAGCTGTTGTGCGAGAAGATGGAAAGAAAGAAAAGAACTTACCTGGCCACCTGAGAGAAGAGCACCCTTTGCGCCCACGAGCGTGTTGAAGCCATCTGGTAACGATGTAATGAAATCATAGATGTTTGCATCCTTGCATGCTTGGATGACGATGTCATCACCCAAATCCTCCTTGTCTGCCAGAATATTTTCGCGGATTGTGCCGGTGTAGAGCGTGGTTTCTTGGCTCACAATGGCTAGTTGTGAACGGTAGTCTTGGAGGTTGTAGTCGGTCAGTGGCACCTCATCAACAAGTACAGCACCGCTGGTCGGGTCATAGAATCTCTCCAGTAGCTGCATGACGGTCGACTTTCCACTACCAGAGGCACCAACAAGTGCAATGAATTGACCAGGCTCGGCAGTGAGATTGACGCCGCGCAATACACGGTGGTCTGGTCGCCCTGGGTATGTGAAGCGTACATCTTGAAGTTCAACCTTTCCTACCAGGCGATCAATCTTCTTGCCATCTTGGGACCAGTGATCGATCTTAGGAATGCGGTTTAGGAACGACTTGAGCAACTTGGCAGCATCCTTGGCCTCACCCATGTCTGGAGCAAAAGAGAAGATAGATCCAGCAGCTTGAGCTCCGTTTATGATCGCGGAATAGACAATGAAGAACTGCAAGACCGTGTACTCCCGACGGAACAGCAATTGACCTCCGTACCAGAAGACTAGAGCGAAAACCAACATGTTTAATCCTTGGGACGTAGCATAGAGCACGGCTGAAACGTTTGTAAACTTGAAGTAGCCTTTGCCCTGATCCACTAGTTTAGCCTGGTACTCGGCCAAGAGATGTTTCTCGAGCGAAAGCGTCGCAACAGTGCGGATAGACGAGGCAGCCTCGCAGGCAAAACTTGCAGCATCGGATGTCTCCTGGGTTCGTTTCTCCATGCGAGTGAGTGCGTAGAAACGGAAGTAACCGCATCCAATAACAAGAGGGATGGTTGAAGAGCACACGAGAGCTAGCTTCCATCCGAAAGAGCATCCGGCAATAAAGGCGACGAAGATAGAAGCGGCAGCGCTGATAATCGTACCAAGCGTAGATCCACTGAGACCTGCAAGGCGATTTGCCTCTGATGACAGGAAGTTGCTAAGAGCTCCGGAAGTGACCGTTTCGCCGTCAAAAAACTCCATATCTTGGCGTAGCATGGCCCTAAAGGCGCGGATTCGCACATTGCCGACGAGTTTAGCAGACCCCCTGGATAGTGTCTGACCTTGGACGTAGTAAAAGAAGCCGATGACAAGTCCGAGCATGAGAAACATGCCGCACCAGAAGTTGACGCCATGTCCGCCAAGCGATGTTCCGGGCGACAAGAGCGAGTTGATCGAGTTACCAAGAAAGATGGCTTGAAAGGCGGGGTTGCAACCAGCGAGGAAGCTAAAAATCAGCCCGAGAGTCATTGCCTTGTGTTCGCCCTTGTTCATTTCCCAGCTAAACTTGATCAGCTCCCAGGCGCCGTAGTTTCGGTTGTTGTCGTCTTTCTTTGCCAAGAATTCAGAAGGAGCCGATGTCGCTGTTCGCAACAAAGCAAGTTTCTGATCATCTGCTTCGCCTCCTGTTGCTTTCTCGGGGTCTTCTAGGCGTGACATTCTATTGTCTGTGGTTTTCTTGGAAGTGAGCTCTTGAGCCTGCACAAGACTTGCATATACAGAGTTGAGGTCGATGAGTTCTTGATGAGTGCCTTGCTCGACAATTTTTCCCAATGCCATGACCACAATGTTGTCGGCCTTCTTAATAGTAGACAGTCGGTGGGCGATGACGATTGTTGTTCGTCCTTGCGATGCTCTGTCGAGGGCGTCCTGGACTAGACTCTCAGACCTGGTATCAAGTGCAGCGGTAGCTTCGTCCAGAAGAAGAATCTTGGGATCCGATACAATGGCACGAGCGATGGCAATTCGCTGCTTTTGTCCACCTGAAAGCAGTCCACCACGCTCTCCGACTTTAGTTTGGTATTTGTCCGGGAGGTCCATGATGAAGTCGTGGGCATTGGCAATCTTGGCAGCGTTCTCGATAAGTTCCATCTTCTTCTCGTCCGATACATTTGCATACTCTGTGTTCACCAATCCGTGCAAAATACTCTCGTAGATGGTTGTGCTGAATAGTACAGGCTCCTGGCTGACAATGGCGATATGCTGGCGCAACCAACGCAGGTTCAAAGTGGCGATATCCCTTCCATCCAAGAAGATCTGTCCCTCCATTGGGAGATAGAAGCGTTCCAAAAGTCCAACAATTGTAGATTTTCCAGATCCTGACGCACCCACAAGCGCAACCATCTTGCCAGAGGGTACAGACAGATTGAAACCTGAGAGCACCGTAGTATCTGGACGAGAGGGATAAATGTGCTTGAGATTCCTGAACTCAAGGTTCCCAATAAAGTCATCGGGTATGATGCCTTTGTCGGTTTCTGGATCGATGGGAGAGTCTCTTTCAATTGTGTTGAAGACCTTGGTAGCAGCCGCGGTAGCTCCACCAAACGCTTGAATATGAGGCAGGTTCTGCCCAATAGAGAAGCCCGCAATCATAAGCGCCATGACAACGGTAAGAATTTTCGAGACACTGAGTTCTCCGTCGTCTAGAAATCGCTTGCCTTGCCAAAACGCCAAGGCATACTGAAGATTGAGCACACCCATCATTCCAGCAATCATCATCGACAGCCAGAACTTTGCCTTGTAGTCGAACCTAGTTGCGCGGTCTACAAAAGCCTTGTACTTTTCCTCAAGGCGCTTCTGTGTTCCATATGCGGCGACATTGCGGGCTGAGGACAGCACCTCCTCGGCCAAAGAAGCAGCTGTAGCGTATTCGTCAATGGATAGAGTTTGTGCCTTCTTCATGAGGGTACCATTGACGCCCATCATCAATACCAACGCAATTGTGGCAGATAGCATGATCAAAGAGAGTTTCCAGGATCTGATGAAACCGATGATAACAGCTGACACAAACATGGAGACTCCAGTAACGAACAAGCCAATCTTTTGGCCGATACCATCCTGGACAAGGTTCATGTCGGAACTGATACGTGTGGTGACTTCGCCGGAGCCCAGGAAGTCGAAGAAAGCAATGTTTTGCCTGAAGATGGCGCGCAAGTAGAGCTCTCGAATCGTTCGTGTAATGCGCTCTCCGGTATACGAAAATCCAATGATACTGATGTATGAGGTGACGAACGCCCCGATACCAAGATAAACAAAGTACAATGTGAATTTTTCAATTTCATGCTGAAATCTGGCGGCTGCAACAGCATCGACTGAGAAGCTAGTAAAGCTTCCCGCGAAATTGCCATAAACAAGCTGGGTCAAGTCAGCTTTGTCTTCTTACAGTGCAATGACAGCCAACTCATGTAACTGGCAAAACCCATAGCTCTGACACGGCCTGAAAACCAAGATCTGGCATGTCGAAGTGGCGATGGTTTGGCGTATTACTTACAGTCATCAGTGGCATTACTGCACCGGCGGCAATACTAGCGATCAACGCTACAACCATAACGGCCTTGTCTTTGGCGGTGGCATATCGAAACAAGGAAAAGTAGCCAACTGTGAGAGTAGGTGCTGTTAACTGTAGGTCGATGATTTCCTTCTCTTTATCGCTAAGGGTAGTCGTGGGCGACGTGGAGTCCTTTTCCGACTGCACCTCATGCTTCTCGTCAATGGCCTTGGAGACGGCCTCGCCGGTGGCCTTGGCCGAGTCGTCGTGGTCCATGCTCGGGTGGTGGTGGTGATCTTGTACTGTTGTCGCTGGTGCTTGCCGGGCAGCGATAATAGTATCTCGAGAGAGGCCCAGAGATGTAGGACAAAGGAAGGGACCCCAGCTGGCAACCTATTATTGAGATTCGTTCTGCGCCACCCACGGGGCCTGGACGAGTAAGACTAGATCACTGCACTCTTTGATCTGGACTCGACTAGACCCAATGCGATGTAGTGCACAGCTCAAGCCGCTCGGTAACACGGCCGTAGGCCCTAAAATGTTAATGACGCGCACCGGCTTGATTTTTGTGGGTACAAGATCATACGGCAAAATCTAAGCGAAGTGCTATGAACAGCCGCTTGGGAGGTTGCATTGAAGGATGGAGATGACAGCCGGCCATGAGCAGGCGGGCACCTTACATACGCCGGCCAGGTTATCGCTGTTGCCTGGCGTCGGGAAGTATTTGTCTGCCTGAAGCCAATCATGGTCATGTTCGGACGAGTAGAACTTGCGCGCAGACTGTTTGACAAGTCGCCAGTCGTCCTCGGGTGGCATCGATGGCCGGTCCTCGGGGATTGGTGTCGCCCGACAGAAGGAAGGGGCGTGCACTGGGACTCGCTTTGCCCTCCTCTTTACGCCCGTAAGTTGTGCACAGCACGCTATCACTAATAAGTCGCGTGTTAGGGCCTGTTCGGTTTAGCTCCGCCTTATTTACCCGTTCTGGACTGTGTATTAAACCCATCCTCAAAGCGCCATCGCGTGCGGTGAAATGTACACTTTGAAGCTGCAAAACACTGCTCTGTATCGTCAGCGCGAGTATAAAGTATCAGCCCCTGCCGGGTATGAATTCATCTCCTGCTGTCTACCTCTTAGGAAATAAAAGGCCAGTTTTCCACGTTGTAGTAACTCCAGACTTCCAGCTAGAACCCCAAACTCCACTTTGCCAAGTGACTGCACTATATCTAGCGTTTTCTATCTAACACCTAACATGCAGTGCATAGAGCCAGCCGATTACACGACCGTCACATGAATGCGATGTGAACATGAATGGTATCACTATAAAGTAGAGGCCCAACTAGACAACCCCTCTGTTTTCTATCCCAATCGGGATACGCCCGACAACAACGCTATGAACCAATATCCACTAACCCAAACCAGCCCAAAACCGCAAATGCAAAACCAAATAATCCAACAAGCCCTTAATCTTTGTCGGACCCATCTCGCTTCGAAGCACCCAATAGGGGAGAAAGAGCGATAGGATTGCGGGACCTCAATGATTTTACAGTTCTTCTCCTTCTTTCTTTCAATCTTGCGATTGGCCACGTGTCGCAATCCTGTCTCGTGAAACAGCGTTCATGACTTTCGGGCACACCGTTTTTAGAAACATCGCATGCTGTGCTACGCTACGGTTTATGCGTTGGAATGCAGTGGTCAAGTACGCGTCGTCAAGGGAATATCGTTTGTAATAGTTGTACGGATACGACACCTGAGAAGATGGAATGAAAGCTTCCAACCTGCATCGGTATGAAGAGAGATAGTTGGTTTGAGAGAAGGAAAGTAATTTGGCTGGTGTTGCATCAAGACATCGATATTGACCCCAGATATGCAGGACATCCCACAGCGATAAGCTATCGATACCTGAGAGCATTCCATAGAAAGGAAATCAAGACCATGGCGCGTTCAAACACCGACAGCGCAGAATCTGTCGAGTCTCGGGCTAGTGCAGGATAAATTCCCCGCGTACGTGTGTTGGAAGTCGTCAACGTCGGTCCGTTTCTCAGCTAAGCAAGACGCAGCTCAGGGAACAACTTAATCGAGGGATCGCCACTTCGCTCCGCCAATCGCATCTCAGCATTCTGAATACGAATTCCACTTTCCAACATAATGAATTAGCAGTGGCGACTGGTGTAGACAGCATACTTTGGACGCATGCGAAGAACTGCTCTCCGCAGTTGGTAGGCTATTGTTTAGGCAGCGACCATATGGCTTTACACCTAACACCCCCCCCCTCCCCAACTCTCATGTTGATTGGCGCGGGAAATGGTGTCCCTGTATGGTACAGCAAGCGAAAACCAAAAGGGATATCAGCCTGTCATATAACCATGCATACAGTCAGCAAAGGTATAGTATACGCAAAACATCGGTGTGTCGTTACTCGCGGAAGATGCCAAATGTGGACCGTGAGATTTCGTCCGATCTCCGGGTCACAGATTTTGGCAAATGCGAACATTCACTCAAGTTGTCTCACTGCGATATCTGATGTAAGAGTGTTTCTCAGATAGAGGCTATAGCTTACAACACATGTGTGCTACGTAAGTGTGAAATCATTATGCTAGATAGTGATATGCATTGATGTCGCTCAGTCTTATGTCTATTATTTTTAGAGATCGTTAGATAGAAATGCCTGATTTGGTGAATGACCATTCTAAGAAGTGGCCTGAGACCGGCAATCAATTCATGAATTCAACATTACCAAAGATTGTTCCACAGCAATATAAAGATATTGGGGTTCGGATACCCTCGAAGGGCTGTTGTCGGTGCAAAAGTGGCAGCGGGGCATACTGGGTCTATTGGCTTCTAGTCTATGCGTTCCACGGGTATCTTGAACTCTTGCGTGATCTTGGCCATGTTATCGACAACTAAGGGAGTGTAAAGTCAGTACGGGCTTAGTGTGCAGAGTGTGCGTGCTACTTGCGATCATTGACGTCGACAGTTTGCGACTTGTTCATTTTTGGGTTATTAGAGCTGGACCCAGATGCACTTGGGTCTTCTATCTTTGGTGGATTGGTGTCTATCTGGATAGTAACCTAGAGTAGATGGTTAGTGTTTGAGGTAGTGAGTAGGGTACACCCAGGGAATGTAATGCTGGGACTGTACCTCGCCATCCAGGCAGGCATAGTCTAAACCTACCGGTCCATCATTGACTAGAGCAACATCCATCATAGCAGCGAATAAGCCATCCTTGACCTTTTCGGGCTCATATAATGCTTTGACTTTGCTGAAGAAAGCCTGATACAGAGTGCGGGCCTTGTCACCGTTTGCGGACTGGTGAAAGTCTGGTTTATTTCCTTTTTTCATCGATGCCAACAGGGTAAATTGCGAGACTGTAACACGTCAGTAGCCCGTCTCGCAGGCTGCATGGTGGCTGCATACCACACAGAACCTCGCCCTGTATATCAGAAACGTTGGATTTCCACTTGGAAGGGTTAGAACCATGAATAGAGATGGGCTTGGATGCATCATACGCGGCCCGGAGGATCCTTGGTCTCGTCATCCCAGAGTCTGGCTTTGAGTATCTTGGCAGCCATGGCCTCGACATCCTTCTCAGTATCGTCTTTGGAGATGGCGGCAAGGACTAGCAGGCCCTTGCCAATCGACGAAATGAGCTGGCCATCTACAGTGACGGATGCCGACTTGACTCTCTGCAGCACGGCTAGGACATTGTTAGTGTCGCTGAGGCATTGATTGCATATGGACCGGGCCTGTACTCCTCATGATGGCGGGGTAGGTAGCTAGAGCAGCACCGCAGTGCTAGCTATCCACACACGCACAATCAGCCAGTCACTGGAGTTGCTCAGGCCGTTCTAGGCTCGATGAGTAACAAAGCAACTGATGGCGACTACGTCACGCATGGGAATTTGCGTATCCGACAAAAGTGAGACGAGGCTGAAGAGGGTGCAACGCGAACGTGAAACGGCGAGGCATGTGGGGGTGCTGAGGCTAGCGGCCGCAATCTTGGCACACCGGGACGCTAGGCCAGCCCTAGGGATTCGCGTTACCCATGCCATGCCTTCAACCTCTCCGCATCCAGCCCACGGCAAACACTCGCGCGACACTCTTTGCCTATCCGTCCGTCCTCGCACACACCGACGGCCTGTCTCTCGCTGCCTCCCCCAAGCGACCCTCACCACTACCACCTCAACCCCCGCCCCCGCCCTGACGGCGAGGCTGTACATAGAACATGGCTGCACGGAAACTCCAGCAGGAGATCGACAAATGCTTCAAGAAGGTCGCCGAAGGCGTCGCGACTTTCGAGAGCATATATGAGAAGATTATGCAGACGGGCAATCCGTCGCAGAAGGAGAAGCTCGAAGACCAGCTGAAGAAGGAAATTAAGAAGCTGCAGCGATCGCGGGACCAGATCAAGACATGGGCCGCCATGTCTGAGATCAAGGACAAGAAGCCGCTACTCGATCACAGGAAACTCATCGAGACAGTAGGGTGACTGCCGTATCGTGGGTCGATGCCGTAGCTGACATGTGATAGCAAATGGAGCGCTTCAAGGCCGTGGAAAAGGAGATGAAGACAAAAGCATATTCCAAGGAGGGCCTCCAATTAGCCTCCAAGATTGACCCCAAGGACAGAGAAAAGATGGAAGTGGTCGAATTCCTACAACATATGAATGAGGAGCTCGAGCGGCAAATAGAGACGATTGAAGCCGAAATCGAGACGCTGAACGCCAATGTCAAAAAGTCGAAGAAGGGCGACAATTCAAAGGTAGAGCGCGTGTCGGAGCTGGAAGAGTCGGTTGAGCGGAATAAATGGCACCAATCCAAACTGGAGCTGCTCCAACGAGCGCTGGAGAATGGCAGTGTTGAGACGGAACAGGTCAAGGAAATTGAGGACAGCATCAAGTACTACGTCGAGAGCAATCAGGACCCCGAATTCATGGACGACGATACATTATACGACGACTTCAACCTACAAGAGGAGGAGGCTATCTACGGTCTGGGCGAGAATCTGGACCATGTCTCGTCACACGAATCGCAATCAATAGCCGACGATACACCCGATACAGAAGTACGCCCACCGGCACCGAAACCAAAGGTGACTGAAGCAGTGCAACAAGGAGCAAGACGGTCGTCGACACAGATGAAGTCGCCGTTACCAGCGCTAGCCACATTACATACACCCTCGCCCAATGCTGCAAATCATACGGCAAACGCTATGAAACCTGCACCGATACCAACACGAACGCCAGGAGAGCCATTAAAGTATGCATCGGCTGCTGCGGCTGCGGCTGCGAGTGACAGGAACGGAGTTGGCATTGCTCCGCTGCCACCACCACCAGGAGCTGCTGCAGCTCAACCAAGTCTCGCTGCTGGCGGTGCACGTGCAAGTGCAACAAGCTCACCCGCTATAACACATTCGCAACCAGCCTCACGTGCACAGCAGGCCGAATCTGCACAGGCTTCACCTGCTCCTGCTGCCAGCGTACTTGCGACCGCTCCTGTGGAGAAGGACCCACCTACGCAAGCTGCAGTGTCTGATGACGTCTCCAAGGCAAACAGAAGAACGCCTGTCCCCGAGCCTGCGGAAGAAGAAGAATCCCAAGCTACTACGCCGCCACTTACCAACGGAGAATCGCACGCAGAAGATGAAGATGAAGAGTCGGTCTACCATCTCCCCTCCAGTCTGCAGGATCTGCTTGATTCGTTCGAGGCAACCAAGAATGATATTTCTGCCTCAGCATCAAAACCTCCAGATGAGCGTATGCTAATGGCATCGATGGCTACTGCGCCCGAGTCTGCAGATACTGAGGCGCCGCGTCACTACCGTCCCCAAAATCCTTATCCATTTACCCCCGCTCATTACCCGCAAGAGCCCTTGCCCATTTTCGACGACCCTCGTCTATATTCCCGCATCGAGACGGACGCTCTTTTCTACGCCTTCTATTACCGCCAGGGTACATATCAACAATACCTAGCCGCCAAAGCATTAAAGTCACAGAGTTGGAGATTCCATAAGCAGTACCAGACATGGTTCCAACGCCACGAAGAACCAAAAGCAATTACTGAAGACTATGAGCAGGGAACATACCGATTCTTCGATTATGAAAGCACATGGTAAGCACTTGGTTTCGTTGCTCGGTTTGTTGTCTGCAAAGCTCCCATACCGAATTCTGTGTCTCAGAGGCAGACTCTCCAAGTGATGCAGTGCTAACTTTGAATTTAGGATGAACCGTAGAAAGGCAGACTTCCGATTTGCGTACAAGTTTTTGGAAGACGAGCTATAAGCAATCGATCACATTCTTCTTGTCGAATCCTTTGCTCAGTATGGTAGTTGCATTCTGTATTAAGTTTTAGGTAGTCCTGGAGTGGGTTCCTTCGCGGGCAAATGTCTCGTGCTCTTCGGAACCCAAAGCGCTCTGCCGGACGGCTTCGCACTGAATTAAACCTTACAGCAAGCACACAGACCGTCTTTGGGCAGAGTAATTTACGATGAGACACCTATGCATGGATTGAATGGCACTGATTGAAATGTTTCTATCACTGGCATCCCTTGCACCGCTCGAACTGAGTGGTGTAGGGGCGAAGCAGTGTTAGGGCCGGGCGTAATCTGACATTACATATGTAGCCAAGGCCGCGGTTTCAAAGAACTTCGGCCCCCAATCGCGTGAGAGGTGCAGGGCTGCGGCAATAGCTGGGCCCATCTCCACTGGCTGTGTTAGCGAGAGAAGCCTTCTGCAACGTTCCGAGCTTCGATTTGGCCCCATTACGCCCGACAGCACTAGCTCGTGCATACCGCTCAACCGAGCGGTTGCAGCATGGATCATTCACATACAACTTTTTGCGGTCTCAGCACAGAGTTGACGAGTTGTGGGCTGCCAAACACAGACAACAGTGCAGGCTGAGAGGAACAGGTGTGAATTGAGTGTTTTATGGGAGCTAAACCGTCTACAGCGGGCGGTCCACACAAGTGCTTCTGACAATGCGTTAGGTATCCAAATATGGATGGCGTTGGTCGCCTAGTTACGATATGAGCATTTCGACCGACATTTTTTGACGGACTAGTCATAGTCGAGACGCAACTTTGGCATCTGCCTTGATTGTGCAATTGTGTCCAAGAATACTGACTTGTGCACATCAGTCATGATGCCGATCTTCAGGCCGCAAACCAGGTCCTGCAGCTCAACAAGGGTAAGGCCATACACCCCAGAGCCAGAATAGGCAAATAACATGTATGCATGCACTCCAAGTCACACGGTAGTCTGTCGGTCTGCTCTCATCCTGTCCATCGGTGACTCCGGCCTATGGCTCATAGTGGAAACAGGTACGAGAATACAAGAAGAGTATCCATTGGACTGGTCTAGCTCTTGCTGTAGCCAAGCTATGCTAACAGGCAAGTGAGATGCCATGAGGCCAAGGTTAGATCAATCCCTACAGGGCATGCGGCGGGAAGAAGGGTTGACGGCAGATCTAGTCAACGGCTTTCTTTCTCCACCAACTACACTGGCTGCGCTCCTTTTAGCAAATTATTTCACCGCCTCACTATTCCTACCATAGAAAGCAAAATTGGCTCCTTTGACTCACATGTGCCACAGTAACGACCCACCATTTCGTCCTTGAGTTTCACCACCTTTTTTGCACAGACATCAGACATCGTCAGCCCTATACCAGGATACGTAGTTGCTACCGCGGGCTTGGGTTCTCCGCCTCGCCCGCGCTAACCATAAGTCCCACCTCAGCAATTTCAGGCTTCTATACTCAAAGTCTTGGTTTTTGGCGTAGCTTTATCCAAGCACAGCGGCAGTCTTACTAAAGGGACGACATCGCCTCCCTCGAGCCCTGTCAATACCAACTGAATCCTGGATCTGGGTCCAAATCTTGATCTGAACCTCGCTGGCCCCTACTTTTTATTCTCGTCATCAACGATGTTGGCACATCACGGTTCGCATGGCGATGCTTTCGGGCTTTTGGAGAGTCCGTTTCCTCCGAAGTATATGTAAGTGGATGCGTACTTTACGGCCGCAGGACGTCAGCTCGATTGTGGCAGTGATTAGGTAGCTGTCAAAAAAGACATCCTCTTAGCGCTACCCCATATAAACTACCAAGAATTCGCCTCTCGAACAGACAAGGAACAGGAATAACGGCATCATTGAATCATCTAACTTTTTTTTATTATAGCTCTCCCGCACAACCGTACCTCGTACCTCGCAAGCATCCAGTCCCGATAAGGAACACGCACCAAGCACACGAACTGCGCCTTATCACATCGCCCGCGGCACCCGCCTACCGCCCGTCTGCCCTTGGAACTGTCTCTATTAATACTAGCTCTCGTCCCAAGAAGACTGAGTCAGTGCGCCCAAAGCAGGAACAACCGCCTTCGCCCGCCATGTCCGGATACAGCGTAAGTCGCTCCCCCCACATTATCAATTTCCTAACAAGTTCCCCACGTTTTCTTGCTTCGCTTACTGAGAGAAATTCACAGTACTCGTCTTCAGACCAAGGTAGCTACTCGTATCAACAACAGCTACCGTACCAACCAGGAGTACCTCAATACACGCAACAGCAAATCAATGCGTACTATGCGCAATACCAATGTTATCCACCACAGCCATGGCAGATGATTCAAGATTATTATGTTGAGCAGCCAGTGGGCGTGACACCCACACCATACCAAGAACCCGTGACAGGATACGAAAGCACAGAATGGCAAATGCAAAGTACAGATATGAATTTATCAACAAGTCAAAGTCATAAAAGGTATGTATATTAACGAGAATAACACAATCAATCACAAGAGAATAAAAAGGAGTCTAACAAGTCAACTACGGACAGAAGCAAAAGCAGTAACGCACGCTCAAAGTACGCTACTCCCTTTTCTTTCTTCCCTCCAGTCCTTTTCCTGTTTCTAACATTAACTCTCCTTCCAACAGAACATGGACCTGTGACATCCCCTCCTGCACCTCCTCAGCACAATTCACGCGCCTGGCCGACCTCCAACGCCACCAGTCCACCGTCCATGGCGTAGGCACCCCCGAGTACCCTTGCCACGTCGCGCGCTGCAACCGCGTAGGCGAAAAAGGCTTCACGCGCAGAGACCACCTAGTCGAGCACCTCCGCAACTTCCACCACATTGATATCCCAAGACGGAAGCCGGGAGAGCGCTCGGCGTTTCCGTTTGGGTGGCCTGAGGGCGCTGGCGTAGGCGGCGGTGCACAGAGTTAAAGAGAGAGAAGAAAAGAACAAAATCCAGACGTAAGGTGCATATTGCGTGGGTATCCATCACTATCATCATCGAGAACAATCACGATCGTAATTACTGCCTAATATGTATTGGAGCGATTATTTTCGGGTGGCGAGAACGGGAGAAAAGGAGCAGGGGTCCGCGTTATCGGTTGTGGTGTTAACAGGAGGGAGGGTGGATATTGCGGCAAAGGAGGGTTGCTTCCGCGGCATGCGAAAAGAAAAGGCACCGAGTACGATGCATATTGGGACGTTTTACTGGATTAACAGGATTTGAAGGACAGGGTGGGAGGATGCGGCTGCGGCTCAGCAGATGCGCTTTTCCGGAGAGTTATTTGCCCCGAGGCCGATTCTGGATGCATGGTTGCATAGGTGGTGAGCTGTTTGCTTTTGTTGGTTCGCTTGGGAGAGGTTGTTCGACCTTTTTTTCTCGTTGCCGTACATTCGATTTGCCGCCCTTGTCTTACGCCGTCATCTTCGGTTGGATCTTCGTTTTCTTTTCTTTTTACATCTATGTGCATAGCATTTTGTGGGGTTGGCACGGAATTTGAGCTGAAACTGGGTGTTGATGGCTTGGAAGGAGGCACACATGGCTTTTCCATAATGCATCGGTTAGTTTTCACTAAAACTAGGGTTTACAATATCCTTGCGGTGTTCATCGTACGAGCGGACCAATTACGAAGGAATCGAGTTCAGGACCATTTGTCCAAGGCTGCTCCACTTGCACGCATGCTACTCATACTGGACGCCTGAGATGGCGGGCCTTGCATGTCAGATATCATGTACCTACGCCAGGAAAAGTGCTAGAACCTCGCAGTTTGAAAGACTGCTTATTCCCGTTGGATTGTGTAGCTTATTGTTAGTTGGTACCGGGTCATATTGGTCTCACTTTCGGCCTCATCCTTATCCTCATCAAGCTGTGATGTGTTGTCGTGAGGCTGGAAGTGAGCAAGGCTTGCACGTGCCGTTCATATCCTTGTTAAGCGACAAACGAATATCACGTCGTGTCTTCGCGAATGAGATGTATTTACGGCGCTTCGCTACTGTGCCGCATCAGCCTCGGGAGGCCGCAGGTGGTCGAGGGTTGTTGATTCGTGTGCCAACACCAGAATTAAGTATTACAAATCTGGGAATGCGGCCATGACAAAAAAAGTGGCGTATGGCCACGATATGATTGCTGCATCCATGTCCAAGTGTACGACAAGAGGATTCCTTGTTGATAAAAGGTCTCATCCTGGGCGTGGAACTCCGACCATATCACCATATCCCGCAGCGCGCTTACCGATAACCGCGCATTGCGTTAGCACAGGATCGCGACCGTATGGTCTGCCGCATGAAGTCTAGACCCAAGGCCGAGGTTGGCTTTAACGGAGATACACATGCCAGACCGATTGGTTGAGAGGTTGAGAGGTGGCTGGCGTAAATGTGACCACGCCTTCTGCAGCTGACCAGGCGAAGAGTTGATGTGGCCTGTACGGCCTTGATTAACTGAATATAAACATTGCGCCAGAGCGTAGATCATCTGACGGCAGGGTAGACAGAGGCCACCTAAGCGTCTACCTGTGCGGCAGCGGCGCGTGGCCCCAGATAAGAATATGACGTGAGCCCATTTTTTGTGAAGAAGACTGATATCAGCTGTTCTCGAAGTCTGGTCTGATTCCTGGCCGCTTTCTTAGTCAAAAGATAGAGCAGAAGCGGCCAATCAGTGTCAAGACCATTTGGCTGACATGAAGCTGTCGCTAAGTACAACACATTAGGTTAGTCTTACCGTGGGCGACGATCAGGGACTATTTGAAGGGACGACCAACCCAAAAGAGACGGCAAGTGTCAAGCGTGTCCTTATATCCAAAGGTCATTTGGGTCGGTGTGGTCATGGTCAGGTAACGTGTGGTGGAAGGTTTGCATATGGAGCGCTGGATGGATATGACGTATGCGACGGTTAGCGCCGTTTGGCCACCGTCCACTCGGGACAAGTCGTTTGCGAGGAACGACTGACACCAGCAGGCTGCCTTGTGAACAACCACATCTCCCTTCCTCCTATCTGCCTCTGAGCTGCTATCCCACTGTCTTCTCTGACTCATACTCATGTCTTTCAAACCTAACTCATATACGTCCACGACTGAATTTAGAGACTCATTACCCTTAGAATAACTGCCTTCCTACTCTGGCTTCCCCGCAATCCGCCGCTGGTTACAAACTACTTAGCAAGCTCAACTTCACAACTACAGCCTCGAAAAGGTTCTTGTAACGAGATTTTTCCCCCAAAATCCATCCAGACTACGAGAAATAACCCAGAATGCGCGACCTTCGCAAGCAGGCTCTCGAGAGCCACAAGACCGTCTCGCGCAAGGCCCGCTCGCGCGTCGCATCCACGACAGCCTCCAAATCAAACTCGGTAGTCGCATCACCAGCACAGTCGCGTGCTGTCAGTCGCAGCCGTCATGATACCGACGACGAAGACGAGTTGAGTGACGGAACCGCATGGAGGTGAGTATCCAGCGTCGCACACAACTTTTTTTGGTTTGCCTCGCCACACTGTAGATCACCCCTGGTGACATCATCACCCAAAACAACGTCGACCAAAAAGCACCGTACTAACATCTTGTTTGAACAGCACCGCATCCATCGACGATATCCTCAACGGTGAAGATGTCAATGTTCCTGAAGATGCATGGAAGGCGGAGCTTCATACGCGCATCGAGCAGATTACCAACCTAAAGCGCAGCAGCACCGACGGGCGCACCGAAAGCCTAAATGCTTATGCGCACATACTCATGGCTCGTTATGCGAGAGACGAGATCGAGGGCCGCACACATGAGCTGGTTTCTTCTATGCTTAGGAGCATCAGACAAGAGACCACAGAAAACGAAGCTGTAAAGGCATTGAAAGGTATGCATATCATCTGGAAGCAATAACGCTCTGCTCACGACTATTAGCGCTTGCAGTCACTGCTGTTACTCTTGATTCCGATTCCATTTACGACGATGTCGCCGACCAACTTAAGCGATCTATCCAATCATCATCCTCAATCGCCGTCAAGGCCAATGCCATTCATACCCTAGGCACCACCGCCTTCTTCGCTGGCGCAGGTGACGACGAAATACTGGACATTATGAATCTCTTCCTGGAGATTGTCGAGTCGGACGGTGCTTCCATTGATGCGCAAGATGAAGGCGAGGTTGTGATTGCTGCGCTTGAGGAGTGGGGTCTGCTGGCGACTGAGATCGAGGACCTAGAAGAAGAGACCGAGGCTGCCATGGAAGCTTTTGTAGAGCAACTCGAGAGCGCAGACTCAGGTGTGCAAATTGCAGCTGGAGAGAATATTGCGCTTTTGTATGAAAAGTCGCTTACTCCACAAGAAGAGGACGAGGAGGTTGAAGAGGTTGACCGCGATGATCCCGAATATGTCCGGGATGGGCAGAAGTTGGTAAAGCGCTACACGGTGTACCGAAGACAAGACCAGCTCCTGCATACTCTCGATGAGCTTGCCAACGTCTCGACTCGCCGCATATCTAAAAAGGATCGCAAAGCGTTGCACTCTTCGTTCGCAGACATTCGCAACTCTGTCGAGAAGCCTAGTCGCGGCCCGGCGTACTCCATGGCGCTGCATGAGGAGACTGGTAGGGCATACGGATCTGGCAGGATGAAAGTAAAGATCAACAGGAACGTCGAAGTCAGGATTGATAAATGGTGGAAGTTGCAGAGACTCAACGCGCTGAGAAGGACGCTGCAGGGTGGCTTCACGTATCACTATGATCAGAATGAGCTGGTTTCGACGGCCATCCCATTCTCAATGTCTGCCAGGCGGTAATCTCTATGAATAGGTAGTGGAAGGCTGAATAGTAGTATTTTAGGGAAAGAAGAAGAAAACATTGTCTATTTTTACCAGTATGGTTCCATCGTGCCTGGCGTGAAGGTCGTGAGTGGGAGAGGAATGACAATCTAGCTCGTCTGGTATTTGGCAACCGTCCAGCCTGACATCTACTATCCGCCAGTGAGATTGCATGGACTTGTGGGGAAAGACTGCGTGGCAAGAATGAAACTAGATGTAACGGCTTTGCAGACGGACAGGGAGCGAATGTTGATGTTTACCCCGCATTGCCCCTCTTCACGAGCACCAAGTTCATGTTTACAAGACCCGTGCGATTTCCAAACAAGCACGTTACCATGGTCGCGTTCTTATCACGATCCCGCCTGACGTTACCTGGCTCAGTGCAATCGAAAAAGCAATGAGATCGATCTTTCCTGGTGTCGTACCGATGGCAGAAAAGCGGGCTTGGCGCGGATGAGGCTGTAGGCTGTAGCTTCGTGGAAAGTTCTGGATGGCTGGCTGCATGCTTTTACCCAGCTTCGCAACGCCAAAACACATACCATACACTTTTCTTAATCCACGCGACCAATCGTACTCAGTACTTGTTGCACATATTCACCTCATATCTCAACAAACTACAACTGCGACTGAGCAAGAATGGCTGACTCTAGTAAGATGCACCCAATCTCAACCACGAACAACTATTGAACACAAATGCTGACTGAGATCAGAGCGCCCACGCGTCTTTTTCGATATTGCGATTGGCGGCACAAAGGCCGGTCGTGTTGCCTTTGAGCTTGTACGTTTTACGCTCGCATTGGCATCTCACGCGCCAATACATCTTTCCACCACGATGTGCATACATCTGGACTAACATATCAATCAGTACAGCGATATTGTCCCCAAGACTGCCGAAAACTTCCGCGCGCTATGCACTGGCGAAAAGGGCCAAGGTGCATCCGGCAAACCCCTACACTACAAGAACTCAAGCTTCCACCGGGTTATCAAGGGTTTCATGATCCAGGGTGGTGACTTCACTCAGGGCAATGGTACTGGTGGCGAGAGCATCTATGGCGAGAAGTTCGAGGACGAGAACTTTGAGAAGATCCATGACAGGCCGTTCCTTCTGAGCATGGCGAACGCCGGCCCAGGTAAGTTGGATACAAATCTCAGCGCATATCCTGCGACATAGCTGGCTAACAAATTACCAGGAACAAACGGCTCGCAATTCTTTGTCACTACAGTCCCTACACCACATCTCGACAAGAAGCACGTCGTATTCGGTGAGGTCATTAATGGCAAGAGCATCGTGCGCCAAATCGAGAACCTTCAAACAGAGAGCGGTGACAAGCCGGTGCAAGATGCCACCATTATTGACTGCGGCGAGCTCACGGGCGAGGACTACGACAAGGCGACCGAGAAGGTCTCCGACGCAACTGGTGACCCATACGAAGACTTCCCAGAGGACCAAAAGCCTGCCGATGAAGAGTGGAAAGGCACTGAGATTCTTGAGATTGCGACAAAGCTGAAGGACATGGGCAACGATGCCTTCAAGAAGGGTGATCTCGAGCTTGGTATCAAGAAGTACCAAAAAGGCATCCGCTACCTGCACGAATACCCTGCACCACTAGATGATGATCCCAAAGATCTCTGGCCTCAGCTCTGTGCCCTAAAGATCTCGCTCTACTCCAACAGCGCCCTACTTCAGAACAAGACACACCAGTACGGCGAGGCGATAGAGAGCGCGACAAAGGCGTTGGATATCGAGGGAATCACAGACAAGGACAAGGCTAAAGCCTACTTCAGGCGTGCTCAAGCAAAGGTTGCTAGGAAGAACGAGGAAGAGGCGCTGGCTGACCTGAAGGAAGCGGCGAAGTATGCGCCAGGTGATGCGGCGATTGTGAAGGAGCAAGATCTGATCAAGAAGAAGGTTCAGGCGAGGAAGGAGAAGGAGAAGAAGGTGTACAAGAACGCTTTCAACTTTGACTAAGTGCTTGAACTTCAAGGTTGAAGGCGATGGTAATAGTCTTTGGAGTTATCAGAATTGGTGCAGAAGGACCGACTGGTGGAGTATCATGAGCAAATTTAGATGAATCATGGGTGGCGAGTGAAATCAATCACACGAGAAACAAGATAATTAAGACTCCCATCCTATTCCACTATCTTCTACTATTAGCATAATTAAGGCAGGCACGTGTAGATGTATTGAGAATAATACTACGTATGTATGTAGCTAGTACATGAAAAATAGAGACTTATTTCTCCAACACATGCTAGAAAAAAGGCTTTCCTGCTGACAATTCGACAGTTATCTCCTTCTCATCGGCCTTGGTATAAGTTCCTAAGCGCTGGCTCGTGCGATATAGTAGAGCAGTCAGCAGCACCTACGTGCTTACTAGTAAGAGCAAGAGGCTTCATAATACAGCACATCAGTTCAACTATTTCCCGCGGCGGGCCTAGAATAACCTTTACCTAGGTGAATAGGTTATACTCAAGCATTACATGTGTGACAGTTCCAAAGTAGCATTAAAGTTTGACAAAACCCCACCTTTAGATATTACTCGACATACTCAATTGGATAGCAATTTCATCCGCCGAGCATCTCCCGAGCAAGGAGATCACGGCCTTGCCCCTTCTCTCGTAAGCGCTAGGCAAAATAATTGTATAACAATCAGCAAGGTCGGGCTCTTTCCTAGTACTAGTCAGGACAAACAAGCATGTCTATATCATTCTGGTTCAGGAATGATGCATACGGAAGTATGCTTGCCCGTACAGCTGATATATTTGTCATCGGTAGTACGGGAAAAGGTCTAGACAAAAAAGAAATCTACTACTACATACGAATAGGTAAAAAGTAATACTTCACCCCACCCTTTATGCAACGCTACACAGCGATTCGGTAGAAGAGGGAAGTAGATAGAGAAAGATAGAGATGACCACAATACTTGATTCTATATGCAATAGGAGCGGTATAGAGAGATGATCAAGGAGACAGAAGTTTGTCTATCAGTAACCCGTTAATACACATCTTCCTATGCACTAGCTGTCCAATAGCCATGTGTATATTCCAAATGAAGCATGCTTCCCCATCTCCTTCTTACTCGCTCTTTTCTTACACACTCTGCCTATCCTCAGTTCGTCCATCCTACTTATCCTGAGCCCCGTGCGTTATGATGACGACAAACTAGCAGTCCGGGGTAACTCCAACACACCGCCTAAGCGCCGCAAAATGCAAAGAGACGTTACTTGACTCAAACCTCATCATCATCATCAGACGGAAAACACTCTTAGCACTAAGAATAAGTCAGTAAGAACACTCGCTTGGTAGTGTAAATAAAACCTCATGACATAGATTTCTTTTTCCTCAAACAAGGGTATAACTAAGACGTCGACTACTACATAGCGCGTTGCAAAACGCCCTCCAAAGGCCCCCAGCCTGGCCGCCCCTCCCATGAAATCCAAATCATGTCGCAAGCTTTCCCCCCACCGCCAAGTCCCCTTTTCCCCAAGAANCCCCCAGGAGAAAAGAACGCTGATAACAGTGGCGTGACCCGATTTTTCTTCCTCTTTCTTTATCATCAGCGCCCAAAGAAAGAAAAATAAGATAAACAAAGATACGGTAAAGGGGCGGGGGAAATGTGGGGATCTGTATCTCGTATATGCGAAATTGGAAACAACAAAAAAGACGGCGACTCCGAAAAGATGATTCCCCACAATAGACCTGGACTCTCTCTGTCACCCCACATACTTACTAGCTCTGCTCACGGTTCCCGTCTGTCCGTCCGTCCCACACTTTTCCAAGCTCCACAAAAAAAAACCCTCGATAGTTTTACCCTCCCCCCCTCCCCACCCGGATATACGATGACGAGCGACTATGACGACCAAAGAAACGATTAGACTAAAACATAACCAAATGAACATGTAAATCCTCTTGTTTTTTGTGTTGTTCCCGGGAATAATGATAATAAAAAAATCTAAAGTAAACTGCCATCTTTCTGTGTCTCTTTCTCTCTCTCTCGCACACTTTCCTAATTCCCCTCACCCCTTCCCTGGCCCCCACCCCCCACCCCCATAATCCGACATTCCAAACATCCACCATGCGTGTGTGTGTGTGTGTGTGTGTGGTGTTTCCTTCTCATCATTCACAAAACATACCCATGTTTAAAATCCAAAGAAAGAGGTAGAGAGAACCTCACCCACCCGCTACTGCTGAAAAAAGTCAAAGAGACTACCCATAAAAGAGGTGCGATGAAGAAAGTGGGAAGGAAGAGGGGGTTTTTAAAAAAAATAAAGAACGCACAGCGCCTCCCGCTAGCAAAAAGCAAAGTAAAGTTGAATAAAGAGAACAACAAAAAAGCCCTCCCACGTTGAAATTGCACCAAAAAAATGTTAAAAATAGAAACAAGGGAGGAAAGAAAAGATCTCTCTTATTGCTCATCGACCAAAAAAAAGGGAGATAAAGAAGAAAAAAAGGTAGCAGAGGAAGAGTGGGGGAGGGACAGGGATATTGATGAGAAGTAGTAGGTAGGTACAACATGTCTTTGCTCTAGAGAGAAAGAAAGAGTTATAACGACGAATGGGGGCGAATTGGAGGGGGAAAAATAAGAGGAGGAATTTCAAGGATAGCTCCCCTTATCCAACAATTCGCCCGCACTCTTGCGCCGTTTGATTTCCTTCTTGGCCAGCATCTTGGGGCTCTCGCCATTGAACCAGCCATGCAGTCAGAATTCTTCGTCGCGCTCTCGTTCGTCGCCCCGCATGTTGCTACTTTTGCCTCGTAGAATGCCCATGTCGCCGCCGCCTCCTCCACCTCCGCGCTCGGGGCTGCGGTCCTGGCTGCGATCCTTGTCGCGGTCGCGGTCCTTGTCTTTGCCCTTGTCCTTGCGGTTTTCCTTTTCCTTTTCCTTGTCCTTGTCCTTGTCTTTGCGTTTGCTTTTGCGTTGGAAGGGGAGGACGCCGCGGAAGCCACGCTCCTTCTTTTCCTTGGTAGACTTTTCAGAGAACACTGGCAGGGCAGTTGTGTATTCTTCTTCTACAATGCTGCCGCTGTCGCTACCTTCAACGCTTTGTCCTCCAGCAGAACGAGGTGGCCGACCCGCAAGCGAGTTTGTCGAAACTGTGTTCATATGCATGTTGGAGCTGATGAGAGAGTTGGCGTTGATGTGAGAGTTTGGATTACTGTAGTTGAAAGACTGTGTCGAAGTAGATGTCGAAATGGTAGTCGTTGTTGTAGTCGTGAGAGCTTGAGGATACGAGGGCGCAGGAGCCATGTGTAGGCCGTCACTAGAACCCGGGGGCGTATCCTCGGCTGCAGAAGCTGATGCGCTCGCCGACGCGGACGGTGAGGCGCCTACAGAGTCGTGTGAACCTGCCACATACTGACCTGACCATTGCTTCTTGGAGAAGGGATTCGTATACGAGATTGTCGTTGAGCTGTTGCTTTTCAATGAACTTTGTGATGCGGAAATACTCGTGTTTTGCTGGTGCCGTGTCCGTGGTGGCGGCTGCATTGTGATTGGCGTGCTTGTTGATGAAGATTGGTATTCGTCACCGTTGCTTGGGTATAGAGATGAATCCTCGTATTCCTCTTCCTGGATTGGACCCCGGTTTCTTGTCGCTGCGCCTCGTGTCGTATCAATTTGAACACCCTGCAACTGCTCGACCAACTCTTCCCACTTGACACTCAACGACGACGACGGTCGTTCGGCCGGCTCAGCACGGTTCAGGCAGTCCTTGGTACGCTCGCTGAGGGATAAGCAAATGTTGTGGAAACGCAGGAGATCGCCGTCAGTCGATTGAATGTCGTGCGCGCTCTTTTGAGTGTGCTCCAACCAAAGGTTGACCAACATTGCAAAGTTACGCGAGTGGTCAATGAGATACGGCAAGGAAGGAAATCCTTCCTTGAAAGTAGGCGGCAGCCGGTGGAGGATGGCAATGGGCGTGCTGTAAGATGGTGGGATCGGCTGTGCAGGTTGCGACGTGGTGGATATCGAGCAAATGTCATCAAGGTACTTTTTGAACTCCTGTCGATGCGAGGTGAGGAACGCATTCATGGGCTCCATCCATGCCTCTTTGGTTCCAAACGAAGACATATTTGCCAGACCTTGTAAAGACTTTGCAATGAGGGTGAATGTTCTCCGTGCCTTTACCTTGGGATGATCTGAACATTGATGTTAGCGACTGGCGGTGTTATGCCATCTTACAACTTGCATACCTTTGAGCAAACCAAAGAGCTTTGGGTTAAGTACAGCCGGAACGAAGAAGCGCAGGAACAAGAAACCAGACACACTACTGTACTGCACGGTCCGCAGGTAGTCTCCGTAACGGTCGTCCGCACAAGCTCGGATGTGTCTGAAAATGAGCCTCAATTCCTGCGGGCACCGTTGAACCGAATTGTAGATGGACCGCCAAACTTCTTCCGTACAGTTGATCAGCCTCCGCCAGTTTCGATCTAGCTCGTGCTGTGATGAGACCTTGTTCGGATCAACTTCGCATTCGGGGTCTTTGTCGTTGATTTCCCTTAGTTTCTCGCTCAGCGTCTCCTCCAGATACTCTTTGCCAAGGCGCTTCATGTGCAGATCCAAGGACTTTGTCAAGAGGGTGTTGCCACGGAAAAGTAGATTGGCCTCGAGTTTGGCATTGTTGCCCATGTCTCGTACGAAGAGCTCTCGATCGCTGGCGGATCCAAACGTGTTTGACGGTGACTCGTTCGACTCGCTCGAACCTAGCCTCTTGCTGAACCGTAAGCGACTAGCCGGGGATTCTTTCAAAGTACCGTCAATCTCTTCTTCGACAAGCGCACATATCCATTCCACTGCTGCTCCAGAAACCTGGAAAATGTTCAATAGATACTCGGATAGTCTCCTAAGCTCGTTGGGAATCATTTGGGCAACCTGTAGGGTTATTCCATTGGAGAACCGGTGGAGAAGCTCGGACAAAGGGTAGTAGTCACGGGCCATGAGAATCGCACATTCCTCACTGCTGACCTTGACAAGGACCTCGCCGATGGTGTTGCCATGCATGTTTACGAGGGGCCACCATTTTTCCATTTCTTGGTTTGGACCAAGATCATCAAGGTAGATGTCTGTTTTGCCTAGTGTCTGGTCAAAGGATATGCCAGCATAACCACCTTCAGTGACCCAGGAATCGTTGCCGATGGGAGCTTCGAAAACGTTCTTGTCGTTGCGGGTGCTGTAGCTTGGTGGCCGCTTCTTCAACAGCAGCGATGCCGTGTGGAGTGCGGGTAGGTCCAAGAACTCAAACTCTTCCCTCCAGAAAGGATTGTTGCCTTCGTTTTTGACCATTGTTCGTGCGCGCGTTTCGCCGTCTAGCAGTAGTTCCACAAGGTATCCTCCTGGGTTCGCTGTGGCTGATGAAGATGGCCTTATTGGTGTGGTTCCATTGTTGTCGGCAACCTTTGGACTGACAGGCGGTATCAACTTTGCTTCAATGACTCGTACAAATAATGACTTTTCCATGCGGAACATGTCCTGGGTGCCAAACGTGGGCGAAAGAGTTCCGTCCTCGGTTATGGCATCCGACTTTGGGCCGTACAGTTGCGGGACGGTAAATGCGCGTAAAAGGACTATCCAAACCTCGTACAAGACGCGTGAATCTAGGGATAAAAATATCGGCCGTACAATTGATAATGAAGAGGAAGACGCAGCAGTGTACTGGGGATATATAGCAATGCAAAACTCGTTATCCAAAACAGACGGATCCAAGCGTTGGACGGCGCAACGCGACAGCTGCGAGAGCTGGATAGTGGATACGAGGGTAACGTCGGTGTCAGAATAGAGTTTGAGCTCACCATTTTCACGAAGAGTGCAGGATACTCTTCTCCATCTGCGGGATCCGTGGCTCTGCAGTCTGTATGCCTGTGGACGTCCGTTGGGCCCGGCACTCTTGGGGGTGCCTGTATTACTGTATGTTACGCTCGTGTCCCAGTAGATCATCTTACCGACCTTGATAATGGGGGCTTCCTTCTTGGGCGAATCCTTGAGCAGAGACACCTCGGAGTGGCGTCTGCTGTCGGTCAGACGGCGCTCCATCATGACTGGAGTCTGCGGCTTTGCCATGCGATTCTGGATGCCCTTTGGCCGCATGGGCGACCAGCAAAGCAGGGCGGCAAACCACGAGTCAAACTCTTCCTGTGTTGGCGGGCGCAAATGGACCTCGAGTTTGGAATTGTGGACGACGACATGGATGTAGGCTGTGTATGCCTCACCGTCATATGCGCTCTTTACGTGGCAGCCGCGCAGGTCTGGAATCAGGGTGCGAGTGTACGAGACATCATTCTTGGGCTCGTACACTAGGCTGCCGGCCTCGTCGTTAATGTAGCAGTAGGAAAGGGCCCAGGGGTTCTGTTCGCCTCTGCGGAAGGCGAGAAGACCATGCATCTTGCCGCATGTAGAGCGCATGAGGGCCTTGAGTTTCCTGGCATCCGAGGCAGGCACAGGCGACAGCCACGACTCTGGGGGAACCGTAGTCGGGGAGATGACGGGGGATTGGGAGCGTGGTTGCGCCTGCTGCTGCTGCTGCTTGACAAGGCGGCCGCGGCTGTTTGTGCTCGAAGTCCTGGGCGGGGGCTGATGGGTGGACGAGGACGGGGAGATTGTGGAGATGTGGCCAATCGAGGTCACGACCGACTCCTCGAGGCTCTGGTAGTTTGACTGGGAGCTGGCGACGGAGCCAATGCGATGGCGGCCCTGTGTGGCGAAGACGGTCGAGGGGGAGCGGTCGCGGGAGGTGCGCTCCTCGAGGGTCCTGGTGCGTGGGCGGGTGGGCTCGCGGGCATTGCGGTAGTCGGAGTCGCTCGAGGCGCGGGCGACAAAGGCCCTGGGGTTTGCGGAGCGGGCGGCGGAAAGCTGGCTGTTGTGCGAATGGGGGCTGTTTGGCGGCGAGAAGCTCTGGGGGGCGAGGCCGTCCTCTGGGATCGGGGGCTCGTCGGGCGTGACGGAGCGGATCGTGGTTTGCTTGCGGTCGTCGCGGTCGCGGGGCCGCTCGATGCCAAAGGCTCCCTGGGCGGCCTCGATGGCACTTACTTCGCGTTTGCGTCGCTGGTCCATGGGGAGACAGGGCGGGTTGGGGCTGATATGCTTCTCATTGGCACACCTCGACAGGCGGCCCGGCTCCGGAGGCAGGCAACCAGCGGGCGCGGGGCGGGCGTGGTGGCGATGGCGGGTGGCGTGGCTGCTATGGAGCGGGCGTGGTGGGCATTGGAGAGCGTGTGGGCGTGGTGGAGGAGGACGAGGCCGTGGTGGCAGGGCGGCGTTGGTGGTGTCGGAGTCGGTGGACGTGGGCAAAATGAGATGGACTGACTGGCTGGTCGGGGCTAGCGAGAGAGGTATCGATGTGCTTGCAGGACCAAGGGCCTGTAGGGCCCTGTCTGTGCTTGGCGCGCCCCCGTACCTCTCGCTCTCCCCTAGATTTACCCGGCCACCAGGCCTGCTTGTTCGCGAGGCCTGCTGTTTTGGTGCGCGGCCTGGCAGACGTGTCCAGCCCAGCGGTGCGCTTGGATGCCATGCACGCCTGTGCCCACCAGCCTTGCCTGTGCCCGTCCTCTCATCTATCTGCAGCGGCCCAACGCCCTCACCACCACCGCCCAGCTCCACTCGCACCCGCACACACACACACAGACACACACATGCACACATGCACACCGGCTCATCATCGCAAAACACTGTCCTTGATCTCGACGCCATATGGATATCTGAACAAGCCCTAACAATCAGCCCCGTCATCTCTGTGCCTGCCTGCCTGCCTGCCTGTCTGCTTGCCGTGACCCTCCCGCCCAACCTTGCTCCTGGCACAAGAAAATCATATCAGAAAAAACAATAGAAAAGAAACACTCCAGAGAAGAAAAAGACGTCTCTTGCACCCTTCTCCTCGCCCTCGTCCCACACTGCATGCACGCACACACACACACACATATGTACACACATCCATCCATCCATCCATCCATCCATCCATCCACGCATACACACAGACATCCAGACACCACCACCCATGACCTGCACTTCTGCCCTCACTTGAAAGGGGGCTTGTCCCCCGCCTTGTCCTCGCCACCCACTGCGCTCACGGCCTGTGACGGCGACGCAATGCCTCCCAAATCCCCCGACCGCGTCTTGCGCAGCGCCTGCCGCATCGTCTCAATCTGCACCGGCAGCTCTTCGCCAAATGCCGGCGTCGGGTGCCCGAGGACAATGGGCGACGTGGGGCTGCCGGGAGATCGTGTGCGTGCTAGGTCCGTCGCCTTGGGAGACGCCGCCCCGCTCGTCGTCGGCGGTGACGACGCTATCGACCTCACGGGCGACGGCGACCGGTTGGCCGTCGACGACAGGCTCATAAACTGCAGAGCCTCTCCAGACGTCGCCCCCAGCACCTCCTGCCGGTCGTGCTCCACGTGCTCGGCCTGCACCACGTCTGCAAAGGAAATGAAGCTCAGCCGGCGCGGGTCCGTCGTGTCGAGCGCTCCGTAGCCTGGCGCTGTCGACTCGCTCGCATCCACATGGCTCGATGCTGCTGACTCTTCTGGCGCCATGAGGGGTGAGTGCAGTGACTCGGCCATGCTGCCGGCCACGGCCACAGCTACGGGCTGGTGCGCCGAGTGTGTCACAATCTCCACCTCGTCGGGGTTGAGCTGAGTGTCGGTAATGGCCAGTGACGTCGCATCGAGTGCGGGGGGTATATGGTCCTCCGTCTTGATGTGTGCCGGCACATCGACCGACGGTTCGGGCTCTTGCACGTTGCGCTCGAAAATGAGCGACGACGCCGGGCTGTGCAGGTTGGGCGATGTAGAGCGAATGCGACGGCCAGGAGACGCGCCCACAGGCAGCATGCGCGGGCTGCCTCGCGGCGATGCCCTGCGCTCTGGTGGAGACATTGGGGGTGAGGGGAGTAGTGTGGGTGCCGATGTAGTCGTCGTAGTCTTGTTAGTCGCCGTCGTCGTCGTCGTAGTAGTAGTAGTCGACGCCGCAGCCGCAGCCGTCTTCGTTCCTGTCTGCTCCGTCGCCGGCCGGTCTCCCTCGTCTCCCTTCTTTTTCCCCAGTCCCAATAGCTTCTTTCCCTTGCCCAGAAGGCTGTTGTTGTCGGCTGGTTTGGCTGGGCGCAAAGTCGTCGCTGCGGATGCAGGCGGGTTGTTGGGCTCCTGTGGCACAGGTGCTGCTTTCTCAGTTGCGCTCATGTTTAGGCGGCGGGCGGCGGGATGCTGTGGCTTATAGAGGGTGTGAGTGAACTGGGCACGCTATGCAAGATGTCGCGAATCGGGCCTATGGTCTGGAAACGGCTGCGCCCGTGTCGTCACGCGGTGGTCGTCGTCGTTTTCAAGGAAGCCGGCGAGTGGGATGGACCCTTGACTACTCCCCAACAGAGAGCGAGGGGCCAGTGGGCTTTTGCAGGTGACAGAGCGGGTTCAACCTGCGCAGCGACAGCGCATGCCTTTTGCTTTGCTTTTTCCTGGTGATGGCGGAGCGGATTACAGCGTCAGGAGAAGTGGTAGGCAAGCCCATGTTGATTTACTCCCTCGCTGGTGCTTACAGTGTTGATCGTCACGTGGGGCTGACGTATGCGCAGACCCTGAGCGTTGCAGCCGGCCCCCCTCCCTCCAGGCACGCTCTGCCTAGCCTATCTGCCTGTTCACGCTACCTTGAATAGCGTGCGCTCTTCTGTTGCCCAACCGTCGACCTATTTGCCCGCACCCAACCGCTCTCTCTTTTCACCGCGTTGCAGCTGAAGCCCGGCGGCTGAGCTTCATGCAAGCACATGCTGCCCGATGCTGCACCTACGCGGGCCTGCTCCCACTCGGGGCATGTTGAAGCGCAGATGTGACCCATTGGAACCCAGCCTGTGGCACACGGTAACGCGTTAGTTAGTGATCTTCACCCTCCCACCACCACTTGCTTCCCTTCCCCTGCCACCCCATCTCCATGTATGTATGCATGTCGTCACTCTGCTCGCCCGCCTCAACCATGTCGCTTGCTCGACACAGCGCCATACGATTCTCATCCACTGCTACTTCCCACCTACGATCGAGACTCCAACGTCCCGCACACATGTCATCTGCGCAAAATGTCCAGAATGAAAAATTTAGCCCAGTCTCGTGAACACCCAAATTTCTGTCCGATTATGCAATCTCCCAGGGTCCCCGCCCGCAACACCCTTCCTGCCCAGTTATCCGTCAGATACCGGCGTGGGATGCCTGGCATCGCACTAGCTGAAGCACCAGATACCAACACCAAACTAGTCGCGGGTAATTGCATCTGACGGAAATCGACGCTCCCGTCTCTGCTGCTTCACACAGACCATCCGTCTGTGATTAATCACCTGTCAGCCTTTGGACCACCGAGCAATTTCGGAGAGACGTCCGATCAGGTACTTCACCAACAGCTACTCTGGCGACTTGGTCGACCAGTTGAATACTTTCGTCACGGAGACACTAAAATCGCAAACTGCTTGTACATACTGCAAGCCAGCCATGGTGTGGCTCCGGCCTGTCAGGTGCAATAATTGATGCCTGAGGTTTGTCGCACTTAGATATTTGACCTGCAAATATCAGCCACTCATTTCGTCCGGCAAACTTGTTCCACACATATTAATTACATGGGTTCTCGCTTATGCTCAATTGTTGGCCCTTTTCATCCATGAACGTGACCCGTTCCTGCGTGAGATAAGCATTCTCCTGCTAGTACAAAAAGGTGCGTGGGATTTGCAGCCATGAATGCCTTGCACAGCCTCACCCAAGGACGCTTCCCATAAGTTGTTTCGTAACACGATCAAAGCTAAAATAGGTCTTCCAGCGAGCTGGAATTGATGCGGTGTTAGTCTGACGAACGCTTGATACTCATGGCCTGTAAATACTAGATGGCCCTACCTATATTGGCGAACTCAATGTCTCTAGAAACAGTCGGACCAAACTACAAAGAACATAGGATGCCCAATTCAAGACCCCTAAACGAAAGCTTGATAAGGAGGAGTACATTAAGCATGCGAAAAATGGAACCTGTTAACTGTAGTGTACACTCAATTCCTAGTTTATGATTACTTAGTTTCAACACCACAACTCGGCAACTAATCCCATAGAAGCTCAAGGGCTCGCATTATAGAACTACGCGGCAAACCTAAAAATAGGAAACTTAAAGTCGACGAAAGAAAACTGTTGACTCTTCTTCTTCGCAACGCAATGACATCCGCTGGCTAGATTGCAGCGGCAAACGGTGGCCTGGATTCGAAATGTAACATACCCTATTCGCCTTCAAGCACAATGCCGTCTATGATACCTTGCTGCACTCCCACCCTTCATTTCCCCTGGAGCCAATCTGTAATAGTATGGTAACACTAGTCAACTGCGCACTACTGCCTAAACACCACTCGGTGAAATGGGCACTAGCTATTCTTGCGCACCCCTTTGAGACTAGCATAGTACTTCATGTGATGAGTAATCCATGCTGAATATTTGATAGTTTCTTCGCCTTGGATAAACATGGAACCCGGTAAGGAGTAGGCGGTAGTTGAGATGAGGGTTCACATGGAAGATGGCAGTCCATCACGTAAACTGATACCACACGGCTGAACCGCGGGTCAGACAGCAACCCCGCCCCCGTCTCTGTCACCTCCGGTGTTAAGGAATTCTGCTCCCTAGTCTACGATACAATGTCCTCTGCATTCCAGAAGTGCCAGACTGGTTAAGCACCTTCACTTTTTTTAAGCTTTCTACATGTTCTTATTTACATGAAGCAGTGATTCGAACCTTCTCTAGTACTTCACATTCGGGCCTACATCAAGTGAACCCTTGAGACATCTGCCCGAGCAGAAGGCGCTTATCGGTTCCAAAGGTCGGTAGTTGTCAGTATCAACATGCGCAACACAAGAAGAAAGTTCTATGAAGACAACACTTGTCCACCAAAGCGTTTGTGTGCTTGAGGCAAGAGTGGCAGTTCTCGTAACAGTTTGGGGGAAGAATGCCAGCCCCTCGTTATCTACGAATAGTACCATACTAACACACTAGCTCTAAGTGTCTTGACAGGATCCGCCTGAAAGATGAGCAATTATGCTCACTGGCCAGCATCTCATGGCCAGCCAGCCCTCGTGCCACACAGCATCAAGGGTGCATCTAGACATGTGTCAATACGGTAACCGAACCCAGAGCTACTATAACAACCGTGACCACTGCTTTGTGGCTACTGTTATGCAGATTTGACTGCTGCTGTCACATAATACCAATCAAACTAGAAGAACTGACATCTAGACTGACCAGCCAAGAGCAAAAACTACCAACAACCCAAGCAAGACTAAGGGTCATGCTAACACACTTGGAGCATCTGGTTCCGGTATCCGAACTTCAGAGGCACCGAAATCACCGTATTGTAACACAAAGTGGCTGTTGCCGTGACTGATACCCCCCATCCCCAGGAGTATCCGTGGAGAAACAACTTGGTTGCATATTCCTTCTTTTTCACGTTCTTTTTTTTTCACCCATGCATGATCGTACGCCGGCGTCACTTCTCGGCAACGCTCTGACACGTGTGAGTAATTCCTTCTTCCTGCCACCATCCTGCAGCGTGGCGAGACAAAGGGGGAAAACAGATTAGTAAACGACATATGTACTGTATCTATAGCGGCGCGCTACGGGGTAGACAAGCGTGCCCTGGACGCCAATGACGTACCATCGGCGACCTTGCCGTAGCTGTATCCACTTTCTTCAATGGTACCGACCCCGACCGCGTTCTTCGCGTGCCGCCAACTAGTCACATCGGGCGTCCGAAGGCAGTAACATCGGCTACAAGAGGAGACCTCCATTACATTCGTATGGCTCTTTGCAACTTCCATCAGTATTTTGGCCCGCAAACCCCGAATGTGGAGATTTGACCGACGCGTTTCGCTCTTCGGGGGACCCTGCATATACACTTCACCAAAAAGGTATAGCGTCAGGCTGGGTGGCCTTTGATCCGACAGTTATCGAACCACAAGCCTTCTTTTCTCGTTTGATACTTCACGAATGCTACATATATCTACTCACTTGAAATCATCTCCTTCATGTTTGTTGCGAGTGCACTCGATGGCCTTGCCGCCTTCGAGTCCTTCATTGTCGGGTGCGCCCCGCTCATGGTACTATCTTCAATTGTACCGAGCGGGTGGCGAGTCTGGCCTCTGCTAACCATCTGGATCCTAGGTGACAGTCTGAGATGGAGTCGTCGGGATAGCAAGCTCGTGACAGATTGCGGCATATTTGTACTGCTGTTTGCCTGGCACGTACGACAGCAACTGCTCGAGCGTCTAGTGGGGTCGTGGGAAAACTTCGGGGTTGAACTCGAGTACACGCTGTATAACGCATACGGTATTGCAACGGTACTTGTGCTGCTGGTATCCATTCTACCCCGCGCATTCAAGAGCAGCAATCCCACAGCCCCAGGCTCATCCAATAGAACTATACAGAGGTCCGAGGTGGAGGCTCCCAAGCCACGCATCTTCCCGTGCCAGACAACACATGCCCGGATGTTCCCAAAGCGACACGCATTTGCATATTCGTACCTCCAGTGTGGATACCCCATTGTCTGCAGTCGAGCTCAGCAGGACGAAACGGAATTTCCATGTGGAGAGGACCGGTATTTGGGATCATGGTGGCTCCGGGTAAGAGCCGAGGATTACCTTGAGCGAGGCGATGGCGAGCTGGGATTTTACCAAAAGTTGAGAAAATATCTGAAAGCTCAGCATATCGCCGACTCAGATTGGGAATATGCCTACTTGGTAACAGCACCGCGCTTTTTCGGTTACTCGTTCAATCCCGTCTCTTTCTGGTACATTTACGATCGCGAACACGAACTCAAAAGAATGGTATTGGAGGTCAACAACACATTCGGAGAAAGGCGCATGTACCTGCTCGATGGATCAAGTCCTTCTAGCCCTCCACACAAATCTGACTCCCAACAGTCATCGGCTGATGAGGGGTCTGAGATTGAACTGGCCAATGCATCCAAGTCAAAGTTTACCGATGTCTGGATGAAAGACTTCCATGTTTCACCATTCAATTCCAGAAAGGGATCTTATGCGCTCAAAGCTCAGAATCCATTCCCAACCGTCTCTCATCATGACCCCCGAATCGACAACACAATTACATTGAAGTCCTCTAAAGACCATGGGAAACTCGTAGCCCGCCTCTTTTCGACCGGCAAGTCTTTGGATCCAAAC